CAGAGCCATTTTATTTATCAAGCTGGTTTTGATGATTGTAATAATGATATTAATAAAAATAGTGATTAATTTTTTTTTTTTAATTTAAAACTAATAATAATAATAATAATAATAATAGTAGTAAGAACAACAGTACCGTTATAAACGGATTGAAATGTTTTATGTAATGAGCTTTATAAATGTAACATTTCACATCCATCTACTCGATTCCGTCTTCCCTTAAAAAGCATTACAGTATATCCCTTGATTTTAATTGATACGGTTGATAATCACATATTCACAAATTATCCCAATTCTTACTAGAGTGAAATTAAACAGCATTTTTAATGCAACTACACAAATAGCACATACATGTAGATTCATTTGTATGTGTTTATATTCAATGCACTTGTGTATAATTTAAAATGCTCACAATAATACACAGCATACAAATAAAGTTAATAAACATGGTGTTTACTACAGTATTTTCTGCATGCACAGTTATTTATAAATCTACCTAAACACATAAACAGCCCATCAATGATACACAAGGCATCATTCCCAATCATACTTCACAAAAACATGTCCATTAACTTGAAATACAGCTCGATCAAAACCTCTGGAGTGCATCAAAAAGTGTACATATGGCTTCAACTCAGCGCTGTAACTATACATATTGCCATACAATGAGTAAAGCACACAGTAGATATTACAGCAATTTAGCTTACGTTGTGGTGTAACAAGCAAGACATGACTTTACCTTCTTTTGAGATGGTAATCTCGCTCAAGAGACGATAAATCAGTTCTATTGTCTGTTCCTCAGACTGCATGGCTGTATAGCTAGCTAGCTGCTCCTCCAACAACAAGTGTCACAGGCACACTGCATCCAAGGAGCCTCCAACATCACTTACCCGGTAGATGGTGGGATGAACAATTAGCATCTCAGGATATGTGTGTTCATATGCATCACAAACATAGTTTCAAAGCAGAGGTTAGCTCAATACAACTTAAGCTCTAACGATGAACCGTAAACACTGCCTCTCAAAGAATAAGTGTTTCATGTGCACCTCATCCCATGATGAACAATTAGCATCTCAGGATTTGTGTGTTCATATGCATCACAAACATAGTTTCAAAGCAGAGGTTAGCTCAATACAACTTAAGCTCTAACGATGCACCGTAAACACTGCCTCTCAAAGAATAAGTGTTTCATGTGCACCTCATCCCATGATGAACAATTAGCATCTCAGGATTTGTGTGTTCATATGCATCACAAACATAGTTTCAAAGCAGAGGTTGGCTCAATACAACTTAAGCTCTAACGATGAACCGTAAACACTGCCTCTCAAAGAATAAGGGTTTCTTGTGCACCTCATCCCAGACTACTCTAATATTCTCATTATATTCCAGAACAGGATGAGATGAACAATTAGCATCTCATGAATGGTGAGTTCTTACAAAAACAAACAATCGTTCAAGGCTGACATAAACTTGGTAGGAACAGGTACATGTAGTACTCAATGATTTACAACTAAAAACACCTCTCAAATGAGAATCTTTCATGTAAATTGCATCCCAGACTCTACCATTATCTTCATCCTCATCCGCATCATTTACCAGTAGGAGATAACATGAATAATTAGCATCTCAGGATTAGTGAGTTCATACATAATACAAACATCATTTAAAGATGTTGAATTTAGCTTATAAGGAATTTACATGTATGCATGTTCATCTCAATGATATACGACTAACAATGCTTCTCAAATAAAAATGATTTCCTGAAAGACAATAACGTCATCCTCCTCATCTATCGGTAGAAGATTAAATTGACGGCATATACATGTAGATGAACAATTAGCATCTCAGGATACGTGAGTTCATACACAACACAAACATAACTTCAGATCCTAGGGTTAGCTCAAGGAGAACATGCAATTAACATTCAACAATGTACATAATCATTACTGCTTTTCAAACATCAAGAGTTCAATGCATACATGACTCCTTGAACATCTTCACACCAGCAGAAATGAGATTGACAGCATAGAAATGAACAATTATCATCTCAGGATTAGTGAGTTCATGCGCAACACAAAACATAATTTCAAGGCAGAGGTCAGATGGAGGTTACCTTAACAATAGCAAAGCATTAACAATCCATGACGCAGCATAGTAATTATTATAGGCCTATAAATGGGAATGGGAACAGTCAAGGAAGCCAAAGAGTTGAAAAGCACATTCAAATATTATAAAAACTACAAAGATGAACAAAATTTTACCTGTCTTTGTGTTTTCCATCTTACAATGTTTTCCCTCTCTAAATGGTTAGAAATAAAAATAGGCAAGAGTCTATCTTTTCTGCGAAGCAATGCTGAATTGCTTTTTAATACTGCCTAAAATTGCCTTCTTTTATTAGCAGGGCATTTGGGAGGGGGGAGGGCATTGGTGAGAAGTGACACCTCTTAGGCAGATTGATTGATGTAGTCATCTCGCTAACTATCACCTAATCCTGATTATGACACCTTCAAAAATTAAAGAGGTTGCATTATATACCACTATGTCTATTGGTCTCTCTCTCTCTCTCCCCTCTCTCTCTCTCTCCCCTCTCTCTCTCTCTTCTCTCTCTCTCTCTCTCCTCTCCTCTCTCTCTCTCCTTCTCTATCTACCTCTCTATGTGTACCTGTCTTCCTATCAATCTGTATTTCTTTTTTCCCACCCCTCTCTCTCTATCCTTCTCTATCTTCCTCTCTACCTGTCTTACTCTGTCTTTTACATGTTCCTATCAATCTGTCTTGCCTTTTTTGTTTAATCTCCCACCCCCCCCCCCATCTTTCTCTCCTCCTCCCTCTCTCTCTCTCTCTCTCTCTCTCTCTCTCTCTCTCTTTCCTTCTCTATATACCTTTCTACCCGTTTTTCTCTGTCTTCTATATATCCAATCAATCTGTTTTTTCTCCCTCTCTCCCTCCCTCCCTCTTCTGTGTCTCTCTCCATCTCACTTTCCTACATGGATCTACATGTACTTCAAATTTATTTCTCTCCCTGAATATATTCATGGTCATTTGCATACCTGCCATACATAGTTTTGTGCAATATTATACCCATATACTGACATCTAGTTCTAGCTTAAAATGTATATGATATTGTGTAACAATTTGATTGTTGCCACCACATAGTTATTAATTCATTTATTTATTTACCACTCACTTTGTTCACTCTATATACGATGATTATGTTTATTGAACATTATCTGATTGTTATGTATCCCTTGTTGTTTTTAATTTGTCTTTAACATCCAACCTTTTGGTTGCAATGGATAAATGGTTAAAAATGATCCTTCAAACACATCTTCATTTCCTAAAATTACTGTTTCATATATTATATTCCATCTCTGAATTCTTTAACTTCCAGCACTCAGCAGGCTTGAAAAAGAATTGAGTATCTTTCTCTTGTTTGACCCGTGTTCCCTTTTTCTTGCTTTCCTAATCTTTAATATTTTGATTGCTTCCTTTTTTCCTTATTTCCACTCTCCATACACACATTTTCCCCTTCAATTCTGTCTTCCAACCCCTTGAATAGCAATTCTAATCTGCACTTGTGAAACCCATGATCTACTCAAATTCTAATACATCTTTCGGAAAAGAAAAAAATCAATATGGATGTTTTTCTTGCTTGAGAATGTCCTTGGTTGGATAACCCATATGAGATGGAGTTCATCATCCTAACTGTACTTCGATAGTCCGTTCAGACTTGTAGAAATTGTATAAAGGAACGTCGAATTAAGGATCAGTGTACATTATATATTGAAAGGAGCATGCAGACTAGAAAACAACATCGTATAAAGGAACGTTCTATCGAGAAACAATTTTGAAGAGATCAATTGACATGACAGCTGGTCAGTCATCAGTGCCCGCTCATGTCACACCTTGTCCAGTTATAATTACAATTTTTGTACGATATGAAGTTCAGTCTAGAGCATGATGCTGATTCTTTATTGAGTTTTTGTTGAAACATGCTCAAACAAGCGTTACGTAATATGTCTTTTTGTATAGCTTTACCATGAATTTTGTACAATTGTCAGCATCAGAGGATGAAGCTCTCGGTCTAATAATGAGTACATGTATGAGCTTACACAACTATACATGTACATCTGATAGATGACACACTACACCAAAGTTCTCCAAGAATCTTCAAGATTGAAGGAAGCAGACTGAACCAAAAAAGAAGAAGAAGAAATACACATTTATATTTAACCCTCAAAAAAGTTTGCAAACTCAAGTTTGATCGATCATATCTCGCTTGTCATGGGATGATTATTGCTTTGTTTACCCTCATTACAAAGTATGTTTTATTGGGGGGGGGGGAGGGGGGGGGGGGGGGTAAGAGGACACTTTTTTTTGGTCACACCTTTTTTTAATTTGAAATTTTTGGGGGGACAGGGGGGGGGCACGCCCCCCCCCCCCCTCCCCCTGGATCCGCCACTGGGTAAGCACTGGTATAAGCTCTGGTATTGTTATGCAGAGCACTACACAGCAGCCCCATATCAAAGACAGAGGAATGCACATGAAGCCAAACAAGAGCAGTGCATTTTTAACTTTTTAACTTTTGACACTGCCCCTCATCTATGATTTTGATGTAATGTGCATTCCATGACTGAAGGTTCTTAAAATTGGGCATCATAATTATGAAAAAGGAATAAACACACTTTCTAAAAATACTAAACATTGCAATGATCATGCCATATCAAGAGAGATATATTCAATCAAACTTGAGTTTCCAAACTTTATTTGAGAGGTATAGTTCCATGTTTCCAACAATCACAACATACGTACACGTACGTACACCCATGTTTAGGACCCCAAAGTCCCTCATCATTCATTGGTATACAGATGAGGTAGCGGTGCATGAACCCACCACGCTCGGGTAACTACATGGGGATAAACCCTTAGCTCGACCCGGGTACACAGTTTGCAGTACAACTACAATGCAGCACACATTGCCTTAGTTTAAATAGTACGTACCCATTTTTGTCGCCTCGATCTTCAGAAACGGCCTACAATCACCTTCAATTTGGAAGAAGATCTATCCGGCCTGGCTCACACAAAAATGATAATTTAAACGTTTTTTGTAAAGCTATTTCTAGGAAAACTTGATCAGAAGAAGTGGTACTCCGTTTTGGTGAACTCGCGATTCGAAATCGTGACATAAGGAACACCCTCGGTACCAGTGTTATTGTGATTGCGTAATTCACCACCCCCGCCACACCCACGTGGACATACGTCATACCTCAAACAAAAAGTTTCGTGGACTGCTCCATTATTCAACGGGTATGAAAATCTCAGATTTGAGGCCGGGGAAGTGTGGTTCAAAAGGTGTGTGCACAACGGTGTTTTCGTTGTTCTGGTATCTGGTCCCTCCATACTACCTAAACGGTCGAGACCCCCCAAATAGGATAAAGGAATGAAGAAAGACAGAAAGATATTAGAGGATAACAAAATAAGAAGAAGAAATAAACCGTGGGTTTAATCTAAACCTCCTTTGTGAATTCGGGCGAGAGATCGAGTCAAAGAGTCGTGATGTAGAAAGTATGAAATAGAGTCGAGATGTAGAAAGTATGGCTACTTGGCTGGCTACCTGGCTGCCGCCGTCAGTTGCTGGCGATTGGCGACCACATCTGCACATCTTCTTGTTGTCTTTCTCCATTAATTGTTTCTATCCTGTGCTCATCTTTTGGCTTCTGAATATGTGAGACCTGTCCATTCTTTGATGTTATCGAACTACTGCTTTCTCTGTCTGCCTCTTTTTCTTTTTCCTTCTACTTGGCTTCCTATTATTTGTGCTGCTAAGGGGCTCCCACTGCATGCCACGCAGAATGTGTCCAAAGTAACCCATCAGGCGGCCACTTTTTCAAGTAGATCTCTTTCTGTGTTTAGTTCTTGTAGAACACTTAGGTTAGTTCTTTTGTCCATCCAGCTGATCTTTGGCATTTTCCTCCAGAACCACGTTTCTGCTGCCATGATGCGATTTTCATCGGCTTTGAGAAAGTATGGAAACGAGTCTTAATGATCAAAGTATAATAATGAGTTGGGATGTGTAATGTATGGACAAAAGTCGTATATGGTGAAATGTAAAGAAAGAAAGTATGAAAAGGGAGTCAAAGAGTCAATGAGTCGAGATGGTTAGAGTATGGAGACAAAAAAGTCGGAAACATATTTTTTGTTTAAATACAATAATATTAGATAAAATTCTGATTTGTTCGCGTGGAAGTCAGAAGTGACATTATAGCCACACGTGTTATAAGTCACTGAAAAATCTCTATGTAAAATTCATAAAGTCTAAATGACATAGAGACGCGTATTGTAAGCTGTCAAAACTTTTGTACACGAGTCCGGACGAGTACGGACAAATTCGTGTACAAACCCTATTGGTGTCCGCCTAGTCACTGCTATAACTACTCCTTTCGTTCATAGCTGACTTTTAAAATAAATGACAATTTTCTAAGTGTAAACTTTTTTTTTTGACTCACACGGTATAGACTATACTCTGCCTCTTTTTATATTAAGACTTTTTGTTGTTCATCGAGTCTGGAAGATGTATAGATTTCGTAATAAAAGTATTAAGGCTTTTGATATTCTTCCTACCTCTTGTTAAAGAGTGATGATAGAAATATATTTTTTCTTTCTCTCTCTCTCTCCTATTTTGTTTTTGTCGCTTAAAATGTAAAAACTTAAATCAGGTCAAAATATGTCTTTAAAAAAGGAAAAATGAGCCTCTTAGTGGCTGGGAATCGAACTCAACACCTTCACATTGTGAAGCGGTCGCTTATCCACAATGCCACTCAGCCTAGCTGGTTAAACCAAGGAGTTGTAATAGCTGGACACCCAACTGGCAATAAATTATTCCAAGCAGATGCCATTTTCTATGATTGCACAATAGAAGATACTGGTGTGCTGTTACCTTTGATGTCCGAGGTTCGAAGCCGCCAATATCAATATCAAATGATTTTGTTTACAAAGAAATATCCTTTATATTTCACTTTTTATTTGAACTACTAACAAGGGGAAAATCGAACAGATGATAAAATATGAATACAAAAGCCTAACTCCGGGGCCTAACCGGGTCTAATTACTGTGTCAATAAATTTACTTACATTGTAGGATAGTAGCTTTAGTTTGTGAAAAATAGTACAATTTGAAGACTTAAAACCTGCAATTTGACACTTTTCCGACTACTTCCGGCTCACGGAAATAAAAAGTGAATTTGTTCATGTACAGTAACTGTTCTTTATGATGTTATAATGTCAGACAGAGGTGGCCCTCCCGGGCTAAGGGGGTTTAATCCCACTGGGCTGACAAAAAAAGTAATTTTTTAAAATATATTTGTTAATGTCGTGGGCATTTTTAAGGGTGCTTTTTACCCCCCCCCCCCTCACTGAGCGAAAAATTGGTCGGCGAGATATTCAAATTTCGCCCCCTCCCCCCCCCCCCCCCCCCCCTCCTCTTGGAAAAACCTGGATCCGCCCCCGAAAAGATTGATGTGAAATAATTATGCTAAAGGTGAGCTATAGAAAGCGAAATGGGAGGGGGTGTTTTTCCAGAGTCGGAGAGAGAGAAAGATAAAGATAAGAGAGAAAGAGAGAGAGAGAGAGAGAGAGAGAGAGAGAGAGAGAGAGAGAGAGAGAGCAGGAAAAAGACAAGCGAAGATGATCCAATTAACCCCATTATATCAACTAATATAGTCAAGAATGATGAGAAACTCGATCACCGTATTGCAATCAGGGCCTAATTCAAATACTTTTCCCGACGATTCGGAAAGTTATATCAAAATTATTTTTGTTGTTCATAAATAAGGGAAGGGCCGGCCGGGATTAAAGCAATTAATGTCAATGGTTTTCTCGAAGAAAATAGGCCCATATAGGGGGCTATGTCTCCTAAGTCTTGAGAACCACTTCTGTATTTACGTATTGCAAATTGGGTCTAGGGATACGACTCAAGGCCATAGTCGGGTTGCAGGGGGTAGAGCCCCCTCCCCCCTTACGCGCTTAAGTTTTTAACAGTTTAGAACCTTCGGGATGGCCGTCACAAGAGATAGAAATTGACATTTTTAACGAAATTCACACAGTCCCCATTATTTCATTTCGTTAGAAATTTTTACTTGCACCGCCACACCGTTTTAGTTATTGAATATTAAAATGAACGTTTTGCAGCCACACCCTGCACACTGCACAAAAGCCCGGCAAAAAGTACAAAAATACTCTATTTAAGAGGCTGGTACTCAACTGGAAGAAGTAGAAGGAGAAGATGAAGAAGAAGAAAAAATAACCATCTTTCTCTCTTAAAAAAAAATTTTGATCAGAGAAATGCTCTTCGTACTTTCATCCGAAGTCATTGCAGTCACATGTAAGCCAAATCATCGGCAAAGTAATCTAGATGTGTAAATTAAAGGTTCATGCTCATACTTTTTGTCCTTTCTCCTTTTTCTCTCATTATCTCGATTTACTTCTTTTGTAGTTTTACCTTTTTTACCCTTTCAATTTTGTCGTTTTTTCCAGTCAGTGTTCTCTCTCTATAGTTAGACATATATTTCAGGGGCGGATCTAGCTTTTTGCCAGGGGGGGGGGGGGGTGACCCAGTGGCAGATCCAGGATTTATCAAACTTGAATCGCGCCGTTTTACTGTTTTACTTTTTTCCTTTTTTCTTCTTCTTCTTCTCCCCCCCCCCCCCCCCCTTTCCCCTTGTTTCACTTGGCCGGGGGGGGGGGGGGGTAAACCGCCGAACCCCACTAGATCCGCTCCTGTATTGTTTGCACACCTTAACATGTCGCTTAGGGTGGAGTTTCCACCCCATTCAAAACGTTCTTGACGTATGATACAGAGGGTAGTATTTTGTTTTCCTTCATATCTGCCCTCTCTCAATTCTCTCAATACATATACTTTTTTTCTCACCTTTTTCATTTTTTCTTTTGTCACACTCTCTTCCGCTTTTTAAAAGGCCGCCAAAATGGGTTGGGAGGTGAACTGGATCCACCACTGCACTGGAGATAGATAACATAATGTAATGGGTTTGGCAATGACCATGATACATAATGTACAACTTGTATGTAGCAAGCAGTGATATATGATTTATATTGAGGGTGACTGGCATGTGAAAAAGCATTGGACAAGCCTGAAATAAACATGAGCATAATCATTTCAAAGTTCTCTGACCCACATTATTCAAAATAAGGCTCTACAACATGCCAAGAGAAGACATGTGACAATAATCCGCAAAATTATGTAATCGTATAGAACTCGCAACGTAAGTTTTATTTTGGTCTATGATGGTTGATGGAAAATCTCTCTTGTACAAAACCAAAATTGGTCGGGAGATGGCGCTAAAGATCAACATGGCGACTTCCATGGACCCTTCGATGTCATGGAAAAAGACGATACAAATGCGGATAAGAAGGAGAAACGAAAAAGAGAGCATTCCATTCAAAGCATTGTTTGAAACACGTAAGTATTGACTATACAATACACGTATAATAAATTATTTTTAAGGTTTCATTTGTGAAATATAATGAAAACAAGGCGTCGGGCGGAGTGCTTCCTCCACTCAATCTTGGCGGGACGTGCACTGCTGTGCTTGAACCTGTGCGTCAATGAACGTGAATGTAAACATTGTTTACACCAACAAGTCCAAGGCGGAGCCGCCCATGAAAATGCAATCGTAGTTCATATGGGCTCTGTAATGGTTTAAGAAACCACTTGTTCAGATCATGTGTGTATATGTATGCACTTGTGTGTAGAGTCTTCTTTCTCTTCTGTTTTGTCTTTCAACAGGCATGACAGGAGAAGAAACATTGTTGTGCAACTCACCAAAATCAGTAGGGGCGCTGGTCCGAGAATAAGGACCGTCCACGTCTGCATAAACGAGGATCGTCTTCGTAAACGCGGACAGACGTGTCCTAAAAAATAAGGATCGTCCGCATTTTTGCGGATGATACTTGCGAACGATTTGTGCGTCGGTGATACAAAAAATGGATTCCGCGATGATGCTCCTTGATGCCATTAAATTAGGCTAATTAAACTTCATCATTCAAGTTATATTAGTACTATTAGTTGTAAGTGTAACATATGGCACATCACCCCTTCATGTAATGTGTCCTAAATTTTATCCACATTTTTTAATCTAAATGATCCTTTCTTTCATTCATTATCTATTGTTATTGTACGTCATTTTGTCTTTCATAAACCATTACGCTTAATTGTTTCATATTGCACTTTATCTTGTATCAAAACAACGTTCATGTATGATATTGTATGGTGTTTTGCTATTATATTTATTGTTCTCTATACAAGGGAGATACTAATATTACTTCCTGATAGAAAGATTTTTTGTACAACAACCTTTTGTTTATCGGACTCACTCTTTTTTAATTATTCCATAATTTTTTCCGGTTGAGATTCCTTTACTTCCGTTAAAAACATTGCCCTTTCGATAATATAGTTAGTGCAATTTATACTTAAGAGTGTTTTAGCATCTCTATTTTATGGCATGGATGGACAGAGCACCACAAGCATTTAATTTCATAGGGCTTTGATGTCTTTGAACAATAATTAGGGGTGCTTTCTAATGATATATTTGCAAGTCAAGGCTTATTTCTGTGATACATTTCTGACTCTGTCTACAATTTAAGTTTATCTGTTGACTGGACCAAGATGGGTCCATGTTTATTTTTGCTATTTGTCAATGACCTTCCAAAAGTTGTCAGCTCAAATATTTCAATGTTTGCAGATGACACTAAGTTGTATGTCCGTGCTGATACTGCAGATTTAAGAAAGCAACTTCAAGAGGATCTGTCACGGATGGAAGAATGGGCTGAGAAATGGCAGCTTTGCTTTCATCCTGATAAGTGTACTGTTTTAAGGCTTGGGAAGTTACCGGCAGAAGCCTCTACAGACTATTGTATGAAAAAGGGGACAGACTCTGTAACACTATCTGTTACAAACGTAGAAAAGGACCTAGGTGTCCTAGTAGATTCACAACTATCATTTAAAGATCACGTTTCCCAAACAGTTCTCAAAGCGAATCGAGTACTTGGAGTTATCCGTAGGACATTTATGTACCTAAATACTGATACTATGCCGTTTTTGTTTAAAGGCCTCGTTAGGCCCATTTTAGAATATGGACAAACCGCATGGTCCCCATACAGATTAGGAGAACAGAGGATGTTGGAAAGCGTACAAAGACGTGCAACAAAGATTATTCCTGGCCTTAGAAATTTAACATACCAGGAGCGCTTGACCGAACTCAAACTACCAACTCTTGTTCACAGGCGTAAAAGGGGGGACATGATCGATGTGTATAAGTACGTGAATGGCTTGTACACTGTGCAAGAGATGCCCTTTAAGATGAGTACAGAAGATAGAACTCGAGGTCACTCTAGAAAACTTGAAAAGAAATATTCAAGGCTAGATATAAGAAAATACTTTTTTAGCAATAGAGTCGTGGAACTGTGGAACGGTCTCCCAGAAAACGTTGTGGCAGCTGGGTCGGTAAACTCTTTTAAGAATAGACTTGATAGTCACTGGTCAAAGAGTGTACCGGTAAGCCTGCTGTATGAGCCGGTCTAGGTGTTGTCTATTGTCTCATGTTATCACACAACCTCCTCCCTCCATAAATAGCAGTAATCACGGAAGAATCCTGGATCGATGAACAGGCTTAGACCTACAACATCGTGTATTAAAGTAAAGTAAGTAATAATAATAATAAAGATAATGGGTTCTTGTACAGCGCTCACGTCAGTCAGATTTGACCCTCCTGGCGCTCCCGATTATTACCCTGGCTTTAGCACGGCTGCCATACGGTGCTCTAGCATTTCAAGGAACAACATGTCATTTGATTTTGTTGTTGTTGTAATGTCAATTTATGTTCACAATTCCATAAAACAATTCAGTAATATTTGGTAACCCATGGGGCCTACTCTGGACTTACCCTATTATAGGGCCTTTAACCTTTAACCTGTAACCTATGACCTACGTTGTATAACCACGTGCATTACATGAGTGATCATGCACAAGGCCTGGACATTGGACACCAGAAGTATTTATATGTTGTAGATGTCTTTGAACATTTCTAGGGTGTCTCTTAGGCTGTCTTCTATAACACATTCTGTATTCTGTGATTGGTCCACTAACTTGTATTTTCTTGAATTCTATCATCATACCCAGATTTAAGACTTGCCAACCAGATCGAGGCATCCCGGTCGCAGAACGTCCAGCTCCATGTCCAGGTGGAGCGGCTCCAGCAGGAGAACACGGATCTCCAGTCCAAAGGACTCTCAAGGTGAGGATCTTTTACCTTTGACCTTTTTTCTTATAATAGTTCACGTATTATACTCCATAGGTCAGGGCTAAATTTAACAGTTGCCTTGTAGTCTTGACCACCTAAAAGTGTAGACAAAAATAGTCGTTTGGTATAGGGACTTTTTTTAATAAAAGTTAAGTTTTTTAACCTTCCTTATACACAGACTGTGGGAGAAAAAAAAAAAATCAATTTCGCCACAATTTGGCGAAAAATTTGTCTCTGTTTTTCTTTATCTAGACTTATCGTTTGATCTTGAAAAACAGCGATATGAAAGGAAATAGTTGTAATTTTTCTGTACTATGAATATAACGTTGAAATCAATGTAAAACTTTGAAATATAAAGACTCCCCTTTAGCTAACCGGTCTGGTTTAGTGAAAGTGCTGTGCGAGATGAGACCTGCAATCACGCTCCGACTGCACCGACCTTGAGATATGCAGTGCAATGCACCTCTGTCTCTTTATAGAGGCAAGCAAGAGCAAGATGTCTCAGAGGAACAGACTTCAATATAAGAGAATGACGTTTTTGGTCTACTAAAAGTCCTACCTTTGTGCCTAGGTGGAAATCAAGAAGTCTCACTTGTTTAATTTGTTACATGTTAATTCGATTTTGTGCGGTTCTCTGTAAAAACCACTGAAACTTCAAAGAAAGTTGAGCTCCCCAAATAAAACCATTATACTTGGTTAAATATCTGTTTGATTCATATCTGTCTGGATTATGTTTAGTAGTCCCGGGCCAGTGGAGAACGTTGGTAAAGGCAGCGCTGCTTATCGTCAGCTAGAACAGAAGTGCTTCAAGCTGAACGAGGAACTCACCGATGTACATCGAAAGAAAGGAGAGGTAAGAATGATTTTCATTAAAATTTGAGATAATAATAATAATAATATTCTGCTTATATAGCGCTTAACACAATGTCTCTAAGCGCTTTTTCAGATATACTATTACCCGTTAAATATCTTCAGCTAATCTGTCCGGTTTTGTTAAACTGTTGTTCAAGATGATACCGGCAATCTTACTCCGTCTGCCAGATAGATCAAAGTGAAATGCGTATTTAGGTAGAGGTAGGAGAGAGAGAGAGAGAGAGAGAGAGAGAGAGGGAGAGAAAGAGAGAAGGGAGGATGAGGGGTAGCAGAATATTTTTATATAAAGAGAAAAAGAGAGAGAGAGAGGTAGAGTAAGAAAGGTAGATATAAAAGAAATAGAAGAACGCAGATTGCAGGATACAAAGGGATGAGGGGAAACAGAAGAGAGTGAGAGAGAAAGAGAAAGAGGAAGAAAGGTAGATTGAAAAGAAATAGAAGAAGGCAGATTGCAGGATACAAAGGGATGAGGGGAAACAGAAGAGAGAGAAAGAGAGAGAGAGAGAAAGAGAGGGAGAGTGAGAGAGGGAGAGTGAGAGAGGGAGAGTGAGAGAGAAAGAGAGGGAGAGAGAGAGGGGAGGAAGGGAGTATGTTTGAAGAGGTGATAACAGTGTAATTTTAACATATTTTGAAGAACACAGATAGACAGGCTCATGAAGTTGGTATTGATGTCTTGACATAATCATGTTGATTGATATTATTCATTTGTTTATTTCTTTCTGATATTTACATGTATACAGGGTGGCACATATCACCAATTTGGTGGTATTAATGTAAAGTCCCACACAAAACAAAGTGGTCTCACATGGTTGAGGACTTGAGCTGCACTATCAGATTTTATTCCAACCACAAAATGGCTGCTAAGATGGCTGACATCCAGTCCATCAAACAATAATAACCAATCACAAGATTGGACAATAAATAGGTAACCAATAGAAAAGCTTGTAAAAGATAGAGTGCCATGTGCCATGTGTGCTGGGTTGAATAGCTAAGAGATAAGGAAGAGTGTGTGTGTGTGTGGTGCTATAGCAGGTAATGTGCATGAGGATGAATGAATAGGGACAGAACAATAGAAGCCAAGAGCTAGCAGACATGAGAGAATGAATGTAGGTCAGGAGTGCGCTAAAGCATATCGGAGTGGAAAACTAAATGTACAGTGTAAAATAAACAAGTAACCACTTGGATCAGTGAAATTAAAACCTTACATAATATACCATCTTCACAGAAAAATGTCCTCATTTTAAAAGATACATCGTATTAACATGCATTTGTTTCCGAAGAAAATGAGTCACATAAAATTTGCTTGAAATACCTGAACACATCAAATCATGAAGTTTTCCTTCTGTACAATTCCCTCTTTTTTTCCCTTTTTTTTTTTTTAAGGAACAGCATCTATTCATATTAGGGAAAATTAAACTGTTTAACTTGAAAGGTCACACATATAGCGAATACAAAAAAATGGTATGCTTTCATCAATGAACATCTTTCAAGCAACGTCCCAACTTCAATGGGTTCTATCCTTTTTCACCCTGAAAATTCCAGTCTGATGATTTGTAGACATAAACATTAAATAATTTCCTTTTTTCCTGTTTCTGTCGATGACAAAATATCCCATCTTTCATATCCAATTTGGCAATTTTCAAAAAAAATTAAAAAATACATGAACAGGCAATGTCTTCACCTAAAAAAAAAAATATATATCACTGTTTCGTGAGTTACTGTTAAAATTATCTTTGGAATAATTTAGCCAATTGAATAATGAAATACAATGTACACAGAGAATATGCATGCATTCTGACATAACTCTCTCAAAACTGTCTCAGATTTAAGGAGACATTATACAAATACCGTGTCTATGGTCGATACAATCTCGACTACACATGATTTATGTAATGAGAAAAAAACACATCTTATGAATTCATGTCTCAAGAATCTGTTTTAAATCCAAATATCTAAAAACATCAATATAAGTCAAATGACTAAAAATGATGTTAAGAAAACAATGTAAACATGTACTTAAAATCAAATAATCCCATCAATGTTTGTCGTTGACACATTTATATAGTCCTTTTTGTAAAATAATGCAGGTCAACCCTGTGACCAACACAATCTGAATCTCACATTTTTTAAACTTTTTTTTCTTCTTAAAATTGAGCACAATTGCAAAATTGCAATCAAAATTGACATTTTAGTCTTTTTTCTTCTTTTTAAAAAAAAAATAAAAGATGGGCGCATTGAGGAGTTCACCCAATTGACGTGTAACTAACAAATTTGATGGAAAAACACATGACAAAATGCTTGAAAGTTTGTCTTCTTTTTCCCGTCTAAACATTAAAACTGACAATTTAATCCTATCTTTACTGAAAAGTCCTACAAAAATATCATAAATCCTCCAAAACGTTCCCAAATCAACAATTCCCTCAATAACATATTGTCACGAACAATGTAGCAATGCAAGGTATGACAGAGAAAAGTTAAAATCAGCATGTCTTCCAATTATCTATCACTATTGCAAACATTATTCCTCGAAAGTCTTTACAGTTCGTAATCTTGAAACTTTGCGGGTACTTTAACCTGTCGACCAGATCTCGAACGTGCGGATGAGGACGGCTGAGGTAGGGGTTGGTCAGCGGATGAGGACGGCTGATGTTGGGGTTGGTCAGCGGATGAGGACGGCTGATGTTGGGGTTGGTCAGCGGATGAGGACGGCTGATGTTGGCGTTGGTCAGCTGATGAGGATGGCTGAGGTTGAGGTTGGTCAGCGGATGAGGAAGGCTTAGGTTGCTCAGCTGATGAGGATGGCCAAAGTTGAGATTGGTGAGTCGTCGACCTCAGTTGATATTGGGGTCTGAGTTGAAGTTGGCCAACCGGCGAGGACAGCTGATGTTGGGTTTGGGTAGTCGGCAGTGATGGCCTAGGTTGTTGCTGAAGTGGGGCTGAGTCAATTAGCCTGGATTGGTGGCTAGAATTGGTTGGCTGGTTTGATGCTTGTTGCCGAACAGACAAACTTGACCGTGACGGTTGGTCATGGTCTGACTGTCGGTGATGGAGGATGCGTTCTGTTGAACTGGTTGGCTGGTTTGAGGCTTGTTGCCGAACAGACAAACTTGACCGTGATGGTCGGTCATGGTTCGACTGCTCGTGATGGAGGATGCGATCTGGTGGTCGAGATGACCACGTGATATAGGCTGGTCCATGGCTAGTAGGTTGAGTTGACTGCACCGTTCTCCTAGTCTCGTCTTCTGCTGGGGGACCTGGTGGGCACTGTGTCGTTGTCCTCTCAGTCCCATGTAGTGACGTAGGCTGTGGGGTTGGTGGGGATGGTGGAGTTGACATCACTTGTGGGGCTCTAGCTCGATGCGGTTTCAAACGATTATGATGGACCCGTCGCTTGAACTTTTCATCATGGACATGAACTATGTCATAATGTAGTCCATCATCTGATGAGGAAGATACTCTGAAAGGACCTTTCCAGTTTGGTTCAAGTTTGTTCCTGATGTTGGTTGGGTCATGTAACCAAACAAAGTCACCTGTGTCATACTTTGAAATGCGTTTCTTCACATCATACTGTCGTTTCTGTTGTTGCTGTTGCTGTCGTGTATTTTGTATGGTGTACTCCCATGCTTTTCTCAATCGCTCAGACAGGTTGGTTGTGTATTCGAGGAGTGTCTTGCCAGATGACGATGGAGGGGGAGTTGAACAGGTGATGTTCGCAGGTGTACGGTCTTCCCTGCCATGCATGATGTAGTATGGCGTCAAACCTGTTGAGGCATGAGTACTTGTGTTGTACGCTAACTGGACTTGATTGATGTGAGTGTCCCATTCTCCTCCTTGATGAGAAATGTACTTCGCAAGTTGATCTTTGATGGTGCGATTACAACGTTCGACTATGCCAGCTCCTTGGGGATGATAGGGTGTCGACCTAGACTTTTTGATGCCCAATTTGCTGCATAGTTCTTGCACTAATCTGGACTCGAACTGTCGACCTTGGTCGGTGTGCAAAGTCTCTGGAATACCATGTTCTTTCACATATTCTTCAAACAGATGTTTGGCGATGGTTGGAGCAGTCTGATCTTTCATTGGGAAGGTATTGACATATTTGCTGAAATGATCAGTCACAACGAGTATATAGCGAAATCCTCGTCTTGAACTTGGAAGCTCAGCAATGTCGGCAAAGACCATCTCCAAAGGGCGAGTAGTGGTAATGGGACGTAAGGGTGCTTGATGCTTAGGGGTTGGTAACCGGAAGGACTCGCAAGCTGTGCATGTGTTGCAGAAATCAGTGATTTCCTTGTTCATGAAGGGCCAATAGCACATTGACTCTGCTCTCTGTATTGTGCGATGAGCGCCGAAATGTCCGGATGATGGGTCACCGTGTAACTCTTGGAGTACCCTTGGAATGAGGGAGTTTGGTACGACAAGTTGGAATGAGAGATTACCAAGCTTGTCTTTCTTCTTCCTGTAGAGTATACCGTCTTGGAGGATGAATTTGGGATACTGCCACAAGAGACGTCTAACCCGGGGGTTGTGTCTACGGATCTGTCGAATGGTTGGCCGCTCACCATTGTTGACGCATTCGATGACTGTACTGATGTCTTGATCTAGTTGCTGTTCATGTTGAACATCTACATCACTGTCCAGGATTACACCACGGTAAGGATGAAGGACGTTTGGTGCAGACTGCCTCGTTGCATCATTGGGAGTAGATGTGTTTGCTGATGAACGAGTCTCGACTGCATTACACAATGGATTGGTCACCATGTGCTTGAGTAGCTGATCCGTCAATCTTGGAGTGACTTGGCTCTCTTGACTCGGGCGTCTAGATAATGCATCCGCATTTCTGTGTGATTGTCCTTTCTTGTGAATAAGGCTGAACGTGTAGGAATTGAGTTCCAATATCCATCGTGTTCTCTTCCCAGTTGCATCATCTTGAATTGGGAACTTCCTGAGAGCCAAAAGAGGTTTGTGGTCTGTCAGGATAGTGAAGTGTTGGTGTCTTAGATAATGACGAAAATGGCGAACAGCTGTAACAATTGCCCGGAGCTCTCGATCATAAGTAGACCATTTCTTCTGCGTAGCGCTGAGAGTTTGGCTGAAGTAGGAGATTACACGTTCTTTACCATCTTGAGTCTGTGAGAGGACAGCACCAACTGCATGAAGGGATGCATCTGAAGATAGGATGAACTCCTTTCCAAAGTCTGGATAGGCGAGGAGAGGTGGATTGGTTAGAGCTTCTTTCAGATGTTGAAAAGCCTTTTCACACTCTGCTGTCCATACAAACTGTTGACCTTTTTGTGTAAGGGTCGACAAGGGAGTTGCAATCTTAGAGAAACTCGGCACAAAACGTCGGTAGAAAGATGCCAGGCCAAGGAAGGATCGGACATCTGTAGGTGTCCTCGGCTGAGGCCAGGACTTGACTTTCTCAACGTTGTTTGGGTCAGGTTTCACTCCTTCGGTGTTGATTATGTGGCCAAGATACGTAACTTCTTTCTTGAAAAAGCCACACTTTGAGGGTTTAAGTTTGAGTCCAGCGTCTCTGAATCGTTGCAATACTTCTTGGAGGTTCTTGCAATGATCATCAAAGTCCTTGCCCATGACTATGCAGTCATCAAGGTATACCAGGCATGTAGACCAGTGGAGGCCATGCAGAACGGCTTCCATGAGACGCTGAAATGTCATGGGAGCGTTGACCAGTCCGAATGGCATGACAGTGAACTGGTAAAGCCCTGTGCCTGTGGTAAAAGCAGTCTTCTCTGTATCTTGGGGATCGAGCTTGACCTGCCAATATCCACTTGATAAGTCCATGACGCTGAAATATGCTGATGAAGAAAGGGAGTCAATTGAATCATCTTGACGTGGAATAGGGTGAGAATCTCGAACAGTTACTGCATTGAGTTTTCTGTAATCCACGCAAAATCTGTATGTGTTGTCCTTCTTCTTCACCATGACGATTGGGCTCGCCCATGGGCTGAAGCTCTCTTCAATGATGCCTCTTTGCAGAAGTTCGTCCACTTGCTCCTGAATTTCCACTCTCATTGCTGGTGAAGTTCGATACGCCCTCTGTCGTATTGGAGTAGCTGTGGTGGTGTCAATGTGGTGATGAATAATGTCGGTCTGACCAATATCCTGAGACGTCGTGCTGAAAATATCACTGTAGGTCTGAAGAAGATGTTCAGCTTTCTCGTACTCTGTCCTCGTGAGTTCTGAAGAAGGGAGAACACCAGCAACTGGTGACTTGTCTGTCACTTGTGGATCAGCGTCAGTAGTTACGCTCATGATCTTGTATTCCTCTTCGGTATCCCCAGTAATGGAGAAGAATTGACCAAGGCAGGTGTCTGCAGGTAGATCGACTGCTTCGTCAGAGGGATTAATGAGGCGTACTAGAATAAGACCATCTTGAGGCTTGAACAGAGATCTGGCACCGATAACAGGAATGTGATCTTGCAATGTAGGTTCAAAGTAGCCATCATAGTCTCTTGGTATGATGTCGAACTGTGGCGACGACACTCTTCCCTGGACGTGAGTTTCGCAGCTTGGGGGAATCCAAGCTTGTCCAACAAGAGAAACTTTACATTTCAGCGGGGCTTGGTATTGCTGACGATCGATGAAGGGAATAACATTTCCAGGCATGTTGAACGATGTTGGCGATATGCAGGCATTCTGGCTGTCAATAAAGTCCCATCCAAGGACAACTGAATGAGTGATGTTGCGTGCAACAACGAACTTGTGTTGTGTAGCCTTGTTCCCTAAGTGCAGAGATGGTACGATTGTCCCAATGTTGTCTACCAGCCCACCTGTGATAGTAGATGCCATGGATGTCAACTTTTCCAATGGGCTCCTTTGCGATGCTGGAATGGATGACAAAAATTTGGCACTCAACAGAGAGATGAATGATCCACTATCTACGAGTGCCAATACATAGACATTGTCGATAACGATAGGGATGTAGGGCGATTTCTTTGGCGAAATAGGTGCTATTCGTATTGGGGCCTTGGTGTGTGTAGCTGATGAATGGCCCTCTTCCTCAACTACCAGAAGTTTCCCTGCTGCTGGTCTTCAAAACGAACTTGACGATAGGGAGCCTGTCTATGGGAGTCAACTTGATAACCTGCAGTGGAAGGATGCTGCTGATTTCGGCTGCTAGACGATTCATAGGGCCGTCTAGAGGGTGAAGTCCTAGATTGATATGCGTAGCTCCGATTAGGGCTTGGAGATATGCGTCTTGCATACTCAGGAGATCTGCGTCCTGCATATTCCGGAGATCTGTGTCTTGAATATCCTGGAGATCGGTGTCTTGCATATTCTGGAGATCTCTGTCTTGTATATTCTGGCGACCTGTGTCTTCGGTAGTCACGGCTTGGTGACGGAGACCCACGACGTTCCATGTGTCTTCCCTCATGGGAGCGTCCTGATGGGCTGCCACCACGTTGCTGAGATCTGCTAGGCCTTTCAACTGTCTCTAACTTTAAAGACATCCTATCCAGCTTCTTTTCTAACTCGTTGAGTCTTGGCAGTAGTAGTCGTAAGACTGATGATTCTGCAGGCGTCTTGTCCTGGACCCGATCATCTACAGCTGCTACTATACCAAAATCGTGTGCTTGGTGTGCTCTTTCTACACGAAGTGCGATCTTCAAGGCCTCGTCAAAATCAAAGCCTCCGAGCTCGTGAATCTTAACTTGAAGCGGTTTGTCTACCCCGGCAACAAATCGTCGAAATCTCTCACCACCTTTTGCATTGTCATCATAAGACGGGAAAGCCTCTTCTACTAAGGAAGCAATGGCTGATGCAAACACTTCTAAAGGCTCACCTGGTTGGCGAGTTCGGGCAGTAATACAAGACTTGAATGTGTCAATAAACTGTGTCTGGCCGAAAACCTGAGAGAGTTTCTCTTTCATCTTCTTGAAATCCTTCTTGTCCGAAGCAGACAAGCTCTCCCACACGATGAAGGCTGATCCTGCTAGTCTTGCCGGAAGGAGGGTGGTCAAGTTGATAGAAGTGTCCGAAAACGCCTGTGCAGCAACTTCAAATCGGCGTATCCATTGACGGAAGTCTTTGCCGTTCTCTCCCGTAAACACTTCTGGCAATTCCATGCGATAAGATGCCATACTGTAGGAGTTAGAAGCAATCGACTCAACAGATATGATCATCAACAAGATATCAACCCAGTAAAACTTACTGAATGAGCCAATGTGAAGGAGGGGGGGGGGGGGGGGGTCACTCTGAGTGCAGATGAAGAAAATGCAAACTCAACAGTTGAAATATCTGTGGCGAGCGGCTATGATGGAAGGAGGGTGTATTCTGCAACTGGTTATGTTGCTACGCCTGGATGTGATAAGTTGCTTGAAAAATACAGAACTGTATGAGGGGTGAAGAAAAAAACCTCAGTCACCGATGAAGGATGAATGCAGGAATATTCACCAAAATACAGTTCCAGTATGAAGAAGGGTAAAGGAAATCTCACTTACTGATGAAGGATGAATGAAGGAATTCACAAAACTACTGATGTAGGAAAAAATCAAGGCTCAAGAAGTCAAGATGAAACTTCAGTAATTAATGAAGGAGGTTGAATACACACAAACACTAACTGCCTCAGCTTAAAATGAAGGGAGGTCAATCAGTGCAGAAGAAGGGTGATATCATGCTCTCAAACATTCACATTCATATACAGATGGAGGGAGAATTTCACTTTGCAACTCACCACTAAAAACACTGCAGGAATTTCTACATATGAAGGAAGGCTGCAATTACAGTTTAGTGCAGAAAAACCACTGCTGGCACCAGTTGTAAAGTCCCACACAAAACAAAGTGGTCTCACATGGTTGAGGACTTGAGCTGCACTATCAGATTTTATTCCAACCACAAAATGGCTGCCAAGATGGCTGACATCCAGTCCATCAAACAATAATAACCAATCACAAGATTGGACAATAAATAGGTAACCAATAGAAAAGCTTGTAAAAGATAGAGTGCCATGTGCCATGTGTGCTGGGTTGAATAGCTAAGAGATAAGGAAGAGTGTGTGTGTGTGTGGTGCTATAGCAGGTAATGTGCATGAGGATGAATGAATAGGGACAGAACAATAGAAGCCAAGAGCTAGCAGACATGAGAGAATGAATGTAGGTCAGGAGTGCGCTAAAGCATATCGGAGTGGAAAACTAAATGTACAGTGTAAAATAAACAAGTAACCACTTGGGTCAGTGAAATTAAAACCTTACATTAATACTGTTAATATTATCAACTGCTAAATTTGTCTTGATTCTTGATTCCTCTGTAGAATGCCCAGCAACTGATTGATCTCACAGCCTTACTCAAAACAAAGGAGTCTGAGTTACAGAAGAATGAAGAAAGGTAGATCTTAAATTTTTTTTCCTGGACATAATCTCTATAAAACTTATTTTGGGGTCTCTCTCTCTCTCTCTCTCTCTCTCTCTCTCTCTCTCACTCTCTCTCTCTTTCTCTCTTTCTCTCTTTCTCTCTTTCTCTCTTTCTCTGGCTCCCTATCCCCTCTCTTTCTTATCTACATGATTATAGGATCATAATGTATTTTTATTTTGCTTTTATGATTTACTTTGTGCATTCCATGTAACTGAGCTCTCATGCAGCCAGTTTGATTTTGATAAATACCATTTTAATTCAACGTCCTTTCTTTCTAATCAGTTTAAATGAAGCCCTCATCAGGGTCGGTGCGTATGAAGATGAAATCAGGAACCTTGAAATGGCAGTGCTAGAACTGAGGAAAACAAATGAGGTAGGTTTTAAAAAAAATCTTCATATTCAAGTGCAGGACAGATGCATTGATGCCCTGGTGCCATGAACCATTATTTTGTTTATCACGGGCTGTTCATAATTATAATAATAGCTCACATTTATAATGCGCCTAATACTTTGTTTCTAGGCGCAGCACATATTATTACCCCGGTCATCGGATTCAGGCTTACTTGCAACACAATGAATGCACATTCATAACATTTAGTTTGTTCTTTTCTGGTCACGTTATGATATGTTCTTGATTCATTCCAAGTTGTCCTTTAAAGCCTGTCTGCACTAGTTTGGCCAGGAGGGATTAGACCTCCCTGCACAGTCACTGACAGGTGCTTATCTCATCAAATCAGCTCTCAATTAACATAAGAAAAAGAGGATCATGGGGGACCAATGGTCATCGATTAGGCATTGTTTACTAGTAGTGCAGTCCTGCCTTTAGGTACTATGCACAATCATTGATTTGATTGCCATTCACAATGGCGTATCACTAACAATAAAGGTCATAACTTATTATGAAATGTGAGGTTCGTACTCAAGGGGAGGGGAACGAGAAAGAGGAGATGGAGGAGGTGATGGAATGAAAGAAGAGAGAAGGAGGTTGGAAGAGGATGTAGAGGAGTAGAAGAAATCGAAGAGGAAAAGAAGGAACTGATCGTGGGCTAACCATACCTATTCTAACCTCCTGTACTCTCTCTCTCTCTCTCTCTCTCTCTCTCTCTTTCACCAGGACTTACGAGACGAGTTACAGAACATGACGCTGCTGTGCAGCAAGAATGAAGAATCCCTCTACAGACTGCAGGCGGAGAACGCGGAGCTGGTGACACGGGTGATGGACGAGAAGGGGCGAGATGCAGACATTCTGAACAGCACCAACGCCATCATCCAGGAGGTCCTTAATGACAAGATGAAGAAGGCTCTGGAGGAAGCTGCTTCCGAGACACCCACCCCGATGCCAGAGCCAAAAAGCAGGTAATTATGGGGTTTTTCTTCTTCTTCTTGCTTCTTTTCTTCTCCTCCTCCTCCTCCTCCTCTTTCTTCTTTTTCAACAGCAATCATACATACACAATTCATGATAAAAACAAAACTTTAAAACCTAAAGCAACAACCCAAACAAATTCATAAAGTGCATAAATGCTTTCTCAGCATGTTCCACTAGGCAGCCTAAAAGGGGCAACAAAACAAATGAAATCACTGTGACCAACGGGAGTTTGCTCCCAACATATAAGCTCAACTTTGGTTTTCTTAATTCTAAACCCTTTCTCTGCTTTTGTCTATTAATGGAGCAAACAGTGGATTACCACAGTCAACGTTTATCACACATACAACATGTATGTAAAAACATACTCCGACATAATTTGGCAATCTATGATTTCAATCTCTAGCAGGTAAAGAGTTAATAATAAAAAAGTGGCTTCCATGTAGCACTCACGTATGTGATGCTCCTGGGACTCCAATGTCACTACCCTCTTCATAGCTTAAGAAAATTCATGAAGCTCAATCGTCATTACTACTACTAATTATGAGAGACATGTTATTTTAAGTTTCATTTGTTCATTGTATTCACTATACATGGCCCCTTTGCGCTTATTAATGTGAACATTCTAATTTACTTACACACTTAATGCTAAAGCAGACTGCATCTATACATTGTTTAATAATAGGTATCATGTCATTTATATTGAAATTTCATACACTTTGTTGGTAAAAGCCATGGATTTGGATAAATTCTTATTTTTTCTTAATACATGGTCTAGTTGACCAGGAAGGTCCATGAGGGGGCTGAAAATCAGTGACAAGTTAAAATCATTCTGAAAATCATTTTTGAAACATTATTTGTAAAAGTTTGTTTGAAATTGCTTCTAAATATGGCTCAGATTGCACCAGAAACCTCTAAGAACCATAGAGCTTCCAGAAACCCACTAGGAACTTTTTGTGCCCATACTGGTCATGTGTGGAAAAGCACACATTTGTTCATACTCATTTGAAGTTGCGATTTTACATGTTTAAACTTTTGATGTGTGGACTACCCTGTAATATACATGTAAGCTATTATAATTTTTATCTGCGGTAACGGAATGAGGTAAACAATTCATTCTGTTACCAGAGATAATCATTGCCGATTTTGTATAAATTGCATCATATTAACAACCTTGCCCATGTATTAAAAAGCCTTTTGATTGACCATAAGGTTAATATTGAGCGCAAGTCTATGGCTCGTCGTGCTTTGATCAAACTTAAGATCAATCATAACTCTTTATAATACGCAGCCTTATACATTTAACTTATACATTTAACTCATGTTTTTACATAATATTATTTTGTGCATGTTCTCATGAAAATTTCAATACTTTTATCAATTTTAGCATCGGTGAAGGCAGAAAATTACTCAGGTAAGACAATTAAGCTACATATATAGTCGCTGTTTTCACGAAGTGACGGTAGTGAAAAAAAAATGCATTCACTTTGCGTTACGATTTTCCTCACTACCGTCACTTCGTGAAAACAAGGACGATATGTAATATACTAGAAGTGATGTGCGTTCGTTCACAATAGATTTCATTTCCCAGCGCATGAAGATGTGATGTTTTGAAGATTTTGTTATAACTTTAAACATTCAAACAATGGTAGGAGGGGTAAGGGGGTGGAGGAGAAGGGAATGGTATCGAGACAAGTAATTATAAATTTGTCTTCAAATGTTGCTTTTTCTGTTGGATTTTTCTTCAGGAGAGTCGTGCAAGATATTGCTGTGTTTTGGATGGTATTTTCTTTTTCCAAATTGCTAGGCTGAATATTGTTGTCATTTGGGTGTAGTTTAGTTCACTTTTGTGTTCTGTTTTGCTTTAATATTGTTTGGGTCTTAGTTTGGGAGTGTTTGATTTTAATGTTTACATCAATATTTCTGTTAACATTTTGAATGGGTCCTCGTCATAGTGTTTTGTGGAACATTGTCTTACCAATAGAGTAGTACAGGAACACATAGAAATTTATATATTATTTATAACAAAAGTATAAAAAAATGATAACACATGTTACACGGTAAGCATGCCATAAGACTGGCAGATTCCAGTTAGTCAATAAATAGCAAGATAAACACAATTATGAGAAACAGTAAAATTAACACTTAAACAATGTTTTTGTCCTTCTAAATTAAACCAATTATCAAATATGTAATGAAATAAGATTCAATGATCTTAAACTAGCATTAAAAGAAAGGGATAGTTGAGTTGATGTGATCTTTTCCCCCATTAAAATTGAGAAAAAAGATATTCCTTTGATCATTCACAAATGTAAAATATCAAAACAGCTGCATAATTATATAGACTTTTGTAAGGCATCAAGGCCCAATGTTCCTACACATCTTCCCTATGTAAGTTGCATAGACACAATTCGTCCAAAATTTGGCTAAAGAAAGCATTTCTTTGTTGTAATAGTAAAGTCTGAGTTCTTGATTGTCATAACGCTTGATCGTTTTAACAGATCACCGAGTTGGATGTCAAAATTTGGGTAGGCAATTTGCTTTGATAATGAGTTTTTCAACTGTCTAGTCTTCTTGTTTGGGTATACCCTAGATTCAAATGCGCTCTATTTATTACAAACTCGGTCACCTCTTCTAAATGTATGTGTGGTGGATTTTCTCACTCACTCTTATTTATTCAACTTGCCTCTAAATTGCCAGAATGCACTATTAAAACAATACATTTACATGCATTACATGTTTATGTGTGATTTAAATGGTTGTTCTTGGAAAAACACAAACTTTGCAGTGTGGGAATAGTATGCCACTAATACTTATACTTTTTTAGTTGATTAGTGTAAACCAGAGACTTACGCATGCATGAAATGTTTGTGAAAGTTTTATGCAGCAGTATGATTAAATAAAAACCGACACTGCCCCCAATGCCTACAATGAGAGAAATGACCTTACAGTGATGAAACTGGCAGAGTCTTAGTGTCGATGGTACCCTGCCAGTGTATATATATATCTGTGGCTTGTCACAAGTATTCACTGGTTGCATGACATAACAAAAGTTCAAGTTTTGGGAGGGAAGAGAAGTAGAGGGGGTGGGGATAGAGAGGGCAGAATTTGGGGTAGAGGAAGTGGGGGAGGGGGTAGAGAGCAGGGGAGGGGGTAGAGGGTAGAAGAAGCAACAGTAGGTCTCAAGGATGGTCGGTTGATTGATATTTTCTAATTAATATTTTCTAATTTTGAAAGGCACCTTACTTTTAACCAGCAAGGTTGAACAAAATTATAAAAAGTTATTCAATACATGTTGCACACTGCACATCATCAGTACTGTACATAATCTTTTTTTTTTTCTGTCACTGACTTTATTGCCAGTCCATAGACCACCTCTTTTAAACTAAACCTCATATTTATATCATTATTTGCAAGCATGATCACACATATATTTTGCATGATTGAAAAAAAACACCTTACTATAAAGAATACTAACATTCTTTGTTGGGCTACCTGAATGCCCACATGGATTTGATATGGCTAAATCAGTTTAAATATGGCCATTAGGCCTACAATTGGTTTGTTATTGATGTAAACAAATGCTCATGTACCTGTTACAGCTCATGTTATGTATGTAATTACCCAAGAAAAATATGTCAGTCAGCAGTCACTCAATAGTGTCTTACAGCGAACTCTAGAAAGTAAACAGGTTTCCTTGCATGATTTGAATACTAGGACTCTGCTAACGTTAACATTTCACAGATATACATGACATATTCATAAGTCCTGCAAAGTTCTACAGAATTTTATGTTGGCTGCAAAAGGGACATAGTATCTTCAAGGCCGCATATGAATCTAAGAATTACCAAATTTAAATTTCTCATTAATACCACCACATATCATAAACTTTAGCCCCAGTTGCATCCAACAACTGTTCCAGTACCTTTTTTTTTTTATCTGGACTCTATTTCATCAGAGATGTTAAATAGACTAATTTACTAATATTTTCCAAGTTTATGCATACCGTACTTTCTAACCAAAGGTGGTTCTTAAAAACCTGAAAGCTAACCCGAGGCTTGCCCGACATAACATCAAGTAATGTATGCAAACTGGATTCCTAGTATTGTAGTTCATTAACCTCATTCATTAATAACAGGTTAATGAAATAACTCGTCACTAGGTCCCCAGGAAAGAAGCATCTACATGTATATTAAATGTGAATATGTAATAGTAAACTGGTCTATTTGGGCATAGGATAAAATTGGGACTTCAGTCACGGCTCGTTCAGATATGAGGTGGTAAAAACGCTGCAAAACACCTATTTTGGGGGTCTCCAAGCTACTGTTTTGTACCCTAGATTCCTCTCTTTTTCTGAAATACTCTGCGTGGAAAATATACAAAATAGACTGTATTCCCAATTTTGCCTTGAGAGATTCCTTACTTTTGCTGTGAAAGGTTGTCAGGTATGTTCCTAGGAAACATGTCTAACATATTTTACCATTACCAAGTCATAAAAAAGAATCGGTGTGTAATTAGATATTTACATGTACAGAATGGTCTCGAATGAGATAACAAGGGTATATATCACAGAAGCTGATGAGCCTGTTTCATGAGTTAGCAAGATGAAAGAAATATCCATGGACTGAGTGCAATCATATAACCTTGCGTTCCATGAAAGAAAAGTCCTTCAATATTGCAATTATAAAATTGTATGAAATAATGAAACTTTGGACCTCAATGCTCACCATTGCATCCTTATGCTTTTCAAATTATCTCGCACATAAAAAACAGAGAGAAAGTTGACCCAATCATTTGCAAGGGTTTCGCACATACAATCCATTGTATTTAATAGCCTTTAAGTGTTTCAAAAAAATTTCTTCATGCATTTATGCACCCCAAACTATGAGATTTTGTTTAAAATTGCACTCAGAATCGAGATACAGGATGCTCAACAAGGCACTCAAATTTTACCCTGGATTTATCTGGACTAATGATTTCAGCACTCACAGCATTCAAGGGATACTTTTTGGAACTCACTTAACACACCAGGGGGGTGTTTCACAAAGATTCTAAGTTGAACTTTCTCTAAGTTGGATGTAGTAATTATGGGAAGCCGTCAGCATCTTTGAAAATGTTTTGTAAAATGTTGATTCAAATCATCCATATTTTCTATTATCAAGGAGATCTCATGTTCATGATGTGGAATTTATGAAGAGTCTTAAAATACTTAGAATTTCTGCTTTTTAATATATTCATTTTAAGGCTACAAATGGCTCTCCATAATTTGTAAGTCCAACTTAGTGTTAAGTTCTACTTAGGATCTTTGTGAACCCCCCCCCCCCCCCCCTGGGTTGAGAGTGGCAAATGTAGATTAATGGCTCGCTAAATGACTTGCACTTCATAAACTATAACCATTGTCATGGTCCTATCTTGCTTCCATTATACAGGCCAGGCTCAATGTCTGCATCCACCCTATCAAGGGCACCAAGCTTGCCACCCCCGGTCTCCTTCGTCATGAGTGTGCCGGACAAAAATATAGCACAGTTTGTGAGTATTTTAGAGCAAGGCCAAGCTATTTTTGTCTCATAAGTTACCAACCACATCAGTACATGTGGGGGGCGTTTCACAAAACTTGTCATCAGTGACAAATGACAGTTTTTGTTATAAGCCACTGAAATCCTTGCTTCTGATTGGTTATCAGCAAATTTGTCACTGATTTTTGTCATTTGTCATTGAAAAAAGGCTTTATGAAACGGGTCCCTGATGGCTGTATGAGGCTGATGATAGCCCTGGAGCTTCAGTCAGACAAAACATCAAATAAAATGGTATTTTTATGTCAATTTAAGTTCACAAATCTATAATGCTGTGTTTTTTAATGGGACATACAAGTCAATACATGTACCTCTGACTGGCTTTATGATTCTTTGAAGAACTTATGTGGTAAATTGACCACCGCCACTTATCATTTTCTTTAGTGTGAAGTCAAACATATCTCATTCAACTTGATTTATCAGTAAGTCTATGATGGTGAGGTTCACACAGTCAAGTTTAATATTGTTGTACACTTGTGTGAATGCAACCATCCCTCATTTAACTCTATCAGACTGGACGTCCGTCATGGGGAGGTTCACACAGTCAAATTTACTATTCTTATCCACTTGTGTGAACTCAACCTTATTTTATTCAACTTGATTTATCAGGAAGCGCATGATGGTGAGGTTCACATCTTAAAAAGTTTAATATTGTTGTACACTTGTGTGAATGCAACCATCCCTCATTTAACTCTATCAGACTGGACGTCCTCTCGAGGAGGTTCACACGGTCAAAGTTTCTATTCTTATTCACCTGTGTGAACTCAACCATGTCTTATTCAACTTGATTTATCAGGAAGCGCATGATGGGGAGGTTCACACAGTCAAGTTCTGTCCTTCGGGGGCTTTCTTCGCCACTGGTGGTGCTGACAGAAAACTCAAGCTGTGGGAATTCCTGAACAGTAAGTCTGTAGTCTGGAAGACCTGCCCACACCAGGGGGGTGTTTCACAAAGATCCTAAGTTGAACTTATCTCTAAGTTGGACTTAACAATTATGGAAAGTCTTTAGCATCTTTGAAAATATTTTGTAAAAGTTATTTTTAAAGGCATAAAATGTTGATTCAAATCATTCTAATTTTCTATTATCAAGGAGATTTCATGTGGAATTAATGAAAAGTCTAAAATACTCGAGTTTTTGCTTTTGAATATATTGGCTACAAATGGCTCTCCATAATTTGTAAGTCCAACTTAGAGTTAAGTTCGACTTATCTTTGTGAAACACCCCCCCAGGAAGGGTGCTCATGCATATTCATGTTCATGCCAGACGGGCCAAGGCGTACACTCCACATGTACTGCCTTGGCGTTTCACTTTCGCACTGTCCCACGTTCAGAAGGCTATTCAGAGCTAAGAAGCATTACAGTTTATCTTGTATCAATAAAAAGATAAATTCTAAGATAATTTAACACCAAGTATCTTATGTGTAATAATGATTACTAATAGGCATTTCTATAGCGCCGTCTATCTAGAAATTCTATTCCGAGGCGCATGTATTATTTCCCGGCTTTAGCCTAGCTGCAATTATAGTGCTCCGGCATTTCAAGGAATTAATTCCTGCCAGGTACCCATTTACATCACCTGGGTTGAGTGTGGCAAATGTAGATCAATGTCTTGCCAAAGGACATTAGTGCTGCGGCGGGACTCGAACCGCGGACCTTGTGATCGACAGTCCGGCGACGTATCCACCTGTTAAATAATTTTGAAAGACATCGACTTGAGCCTTAAGCCTCATTTGCACATAACAGTGTTAGGCACCTCAAAAAACCAATGATACAATATACAAATTATTTCATGTGTGAATAATTGGGGATGAAACTAGAAGCTGCATACAACACAGCTCTAGGCATACTCACTCTTTTGTGTTTATTTTATTACGCTTATGTTAAAGCCCGTCTGCACCAGTTTGTCCAGGAGGGATTAGACCTCCCTTCAAGGTCACTGACAGGTGGTTATCTCATCAAATCAGCTCTCAATTAACAAAAGAAAAAGGGGATCATGGGGGACCAACGGGCACCGCTCAGGCATTTTTTGCTATATAGAGGGCGCAAGTAGTTACGTGTACTGCAGTCCAGCTTTAATTTATTTTACTGTGGCAATTTTTTATAACACTGTTTGTTGGTTCTGTTCACAGATTCTTGTCAAAATAGTGCTGTACTCTTCGGCAGCAACCTTGCGGTGACGTGTATCGACTTCGACGATCAGGAAAATCTCATTCTCGGGGCAGCCAACGACTGCACCATCAGGATATGGGGAACACATGATCACAGGTTACGGGTAATACCAACGTGATGGATTTAAAAAAAAAGATGGTTTTGTTCTCCCCAAATAAATTTGTTCCCACTCGCTTAAAGGCATCGTTTAACAATGTTAAATCTGAGATGCACGGCCCTACGTGTTATCAGTGTCTGTGATATGGTGTAATATTGAAGCCCTAAAAAAAATAGCGTTTCAAAATGATCAAGAAGTGCCTCAAAAAAGTAAAAATCTTTGAGTGACCGGTTTTACCATACATGTTTTCCCCAATAGACTGTTGTGTAATGAAAATCGTTAAGAAAACACAAAATTTGGTTTTGATTTTCAATCATAAATATCTTGATAATCAGACCGGCGATCGGCTTGTAAAAGTCATGGGGTTCCTGACTGACGTAAACTTGAAGGTTAATAATTATCATTGCAGCATGAGCTAAATCCAGGATTTTGTTTCAGAATCTGAGACAACTTTACCGGATCCCTTTAAAGAGCAAATGAACAATGCCAGTTTAAGTTCCTTCCATGGCATGAAACGGTTCATGTTCTTAAAGTAACCATTTTATTACAAAAGAATAGTTTTGTATTATTGAAAAGTTATAATTTCAATGATGAAAACCAAGCTCGTCACAAATTGTAGGTATTTATGCTCAAAGCTTACCAGCATACAGTTACAGGCCCTTGTGGTAACAAGAACAATAATTTTGATACATGGCATATGGCAAAAGTCATGTAATTTTATATCTATAATTTCACATCATGCCAGTGCATGATCTGTATATATGTTTGTACTTGTATGTGATGTTTTCTTTATTTTCTTTTACCTTATCAAGCAAACATTAACGGGTCATAGCAATAAAGTTTTAGCTGCAAAATTCCTGAGCGATCCCAACAAGTTTGTTTCCGGTAGCCACGACAGGACTCTCAAGATCTGGGATCTCAGGAGCAGAGCATGTAAGAACATTGGATGATTAGAACAATTTGTAGAGGATTAAAAAGGTATTCAGCTGTCCTGAAAATGTGGGAAAACCTGGAAAATAATTCCTTTTTTTTGGCCCAGGAAGAAATTAATCAGTCTCTTATGTTTCGTCTTGTGTCCTATTACATCACCACTAGATGATTGCTTAATTTAACTTAATTTTTTTTCTTCATTTATACAAAAAAAGACAATATTTGCAGGTGGTTCCATGTGCAATCACCTTATAATACAAGTGAAAGAGCAGGAACCAAGACTATCATTGATCATTTTATAATTTGTCATTAAAAAGAGATACAGTGGAAATGTTGATACATGTAAGTGGATCATAGTTTTGTTGAACTTAAATTTCAATGGGAAGCAAATAATAACAAAACATGAAAAACCCAATCTATTTGTCCTTTCTGAATGTCCAGGTACCCGAACAATGTTTGCAGGTTCCATGTGCAACGATCTTGTAACGAGTGATGGAGCAGGAACCAACATAATCAGTGGTCACGTGGACAAGAAGATCAGGTTCTGGGATGCAAGGTACTTATCTTTACGGTCTAACCCTTTGCCTAAAGGATCCGGGTAGATCCTGCTTTGAGTCTAATTGGACTGAGAGAATTCAGTATTTATTATTGCCTTTGTCTACTTAATATTTGTGGTCTCGATCAAAAGTTTTGGATATATATGTGTAAATTCATATTACAGTCGAACCTGTCTATAGCGACCGCCCAAGGGTCACACAAAAAGTGGCCTTTGTAGACAGGTTCCTTTAGTATATGACTCAATGAGAAACCATTTTCAAGGGAAACAACAAATGTGGCCTTTGTAGTCAGGTGGTCACTAAAGCAGGTTTTACTGTATTGTCAATGTTATTATAATGATTATCATTATCATCATTAGTAGTATTATGATCATCATTATCATCATCATCATTATCATTGGTATTGTTGTATTTTTTCTTTCAAAGATCAAATGCAAGAACGAAAGAGATCCTACTCAACGGCAAGGTGACCTCTCTTGACCTTTCACCTGATCGGCAATCCTTATTAGCGTGCACGAGAGATGACGCGCTGAAGATAGTGGATCTTCGCACCAATCAAGTTATCACATCTTGTAGGTTAGTAGATTTAACCAAAAATATGCTGCTATCTTTGCTGAAATTTGTTTGATTTGCATAAAAGAGATCAAGCTTTTATTCATATTTTACAGCCTAAAAATGATTGTTGTTGTTGTGTTTTTTTTTTTTTGTTTTTGTTTTTTTTTGGGGGGGGGGGGGAACGCTCTTGAATGTAAGGGGAGGAAGAATAAATTAAATGGCGAGAAGATTGCTGAAACTGTGAATTACCAGAAATTAAACTCATTGTTAAAAGCACTCTAATTTCTCCAGAGTAGCTGTAAAAAATGAGATGAATTTTGTTGACTGACCTTGACCTAGCTTGACCTAAGCCTTCCACACCATCTGGGAGATGAGTGATGGCTTCTGCTTCATGACCTCAAGCCAGATAATAATAATAACGTTTTATTTACCCAGGGTAGCCACTTCAATTATAAAACTGATCTTCCAGCGGGCCCTGCATAACATAATATGTTATTACTACCCTTCTCCAATCTAATATGCTGAGCGCCTAGCTAGAAGGCAGAAGGTCCCATTGTTATAAGTCTTTGGTATAACTTGGCCGGGGATCGAACCCACGACCTCCCGTTCATGAGGCGGGCGCTCTAACCACTGAGAGCCACCATGCCCGGTCTTCCACCTATCTTGTGATGTTCTGGTTGTTTCTGTGAGGGATCCTAGACAGTTGGTAGCACAATATTTGTGCTTTATATTGTGTCCAAACATGTGTATGCCAGATATTGTGATGTTCAATTCATGAGTTGCAAGGATGCCCTTTGCACAAGGAATATCACATCCTTACCATCATTACCCTTTAGCAACTGAAATTGAAGAAATCTGATTAAAAGTTTCACCACCCAAATACCAGAAATAAATTGAGCTGATACAGAGCACCTTGTGATGGGTTGAGGTGATTACAACATCTAACTTTGACTCGACCGACCTGACCTCATCTGACCTGACCTCATCTGACCTGACCTCGTCCGACCTGACCTCATCCGACCTGACCTCGTACATGCCGTGAGTGGCAAAGTCTGGCCAAGAATGTGATGATTAATGTTTTTGGATTAGACGGACTTAATTTTTCTTCCTCATAAAGCCCCAGTCCCATATAAAGCCGGACCAGCACGGACGAGCACGGACCACTCCGGACCATCCCGGACCATGGTCTGGGGTGATCCGGGATGGTCCGGGATGTTTTGTTCAAAAAAAGTGTGATGCTTTTAAGCTACAGTCCCATATACGTCCCGGACCGTCCCGGACCATCCCGGACCACATCCGGGGTGATCCGGGATTCGGTCCGTGTTGACACCGTGTTGGCACCGGGGTGGTCCTGGATGGTCCTGGATGGTCCTGGGCGGTCCTGGATGGTCCTGGGCGGTCAATAACTCACTCCCGGACTGCCACGGATCAACACGGACCGCCCCGGCGCCACTACGGATGACCCCGGACCCAGCACGGTGGCTACACGGATCACCCCGGATCAAACTATTGTCCCGGACCGTCCCGGACCACCCCGGCAGTTTTTGACCGTCAAAAACATCCGGGGTCGACTCCCGGACCGCCCAGGACCATCCAGGACCATCCAGGACCATCCAGGACCATCCAGGACCACCCCGGTGCCAACACGGTGTCAACACGGACCGAATCCCGGATCACCCCGGATGGGGTCCGGGATGGTCCGGGACGGTCCGGGACGTATATGGGACTGTAGCTTAAAAAGAAATATGTTCCCCCAATATTCAGATTATTCCTTTGCAATGTATTTTCTACTTAATTGACTAGTGAAACAACTCTTTAAAAGTTCATGTTTTCCTCTTTAAAGCCCGTTTTCACTAGTTTGGCCAGGGGAGATAAGACCTCCTGTAAGGTCACTGACAGGTGGTTATCTCATCAAATCAGCTCTCAATTGAAATAAGAAAAAGGGGACCATGGGGGACCAACGATCACTGATTAGGCATTGTTTGCTATATAGAGGGCACAAGTAGCTATAAGTGGTGCAGTGGGGCTTTAAAAGGATTCTTGGCATTCGGTGTTTCCTTCTCTCTGCTGCTTTGGCGCAGCTGAGAAGTGGACTTCATGTCATAATAGTCTGTAAACCACTGAGTTATTGTCAATCCTTGCATCACACAGTGCAGAAGGATTCAAAGTGGCATGCGACTACACCAGAGCGGCCTTCAGCCCCGACGGTGAATACGTGACAGCAGGCTCACAAGACGGCTCAATATTCTACTGGAAGGCAAAGAACGGAGAAATGGAGAAGCAGATCAAGGACCACAAGTGAGTATTTCATTCTCAAATTGGCAACTCCGGTCATGTGACTGTGAGGTCATGCATTTAATCCTCTGCTTTTGTTTGTACAATAACATTCAGAATCATTGTTGTTCTTCACTGTCCTATGGAGCTAATAACTGTGTGGGGAAGCAACAACTTGCTTGCTTGCATTTCAGAAATAATGATAATCTCTAAATATTACCTTCTGTTTGTTGTAAAAAAAGAATCATCTCTAAATAAGTAGTGCCTTCATGCTGTTTTTCTATGTGAAAGGCATGTTCTGATGTTAATGTTAAAGGAAGCAGTCAAAGAATAAATGAGAAAAAACAGAGTCGAAACATACTTGAGTAAAGAGATCCTATGAATGCACCATTTTGAAATGATTTTGCCTTTTTAATACAGCAAAAAATACAATATTCAAGGAAGATATCTCATCCATGCTAGTAAAGTATATGTGCCCATATACATGTACTGTATATACATGCAGGGGGGGGGGGGGGTGTTTCATAAAGAGTTTGTAAAGTTATGCATGACTTTACAAACAACTTGTATATGAAGTGCCAGATAGGATGCCCAAAGTTTGCTCTGATATTTCCAATAACCTCAATTAAATTATGGCAAAAAATATACTTTGCATTAAAAATGGTTGTTATAATAAGAATGTTATATCTATATGTGCACAGTTCAACCTAATAATTAATAGTAAATAATGATTGAGCATCCTATTTGGCTTTTCATGTACAAGTCGTTCGTAAAGTCATGCTTAATTTTACGAACAGCTTTATGAAACACCCCCCAGGACAGTATAATTTTGATGTAAAAAAACCCTCAATTTGACTATTTTCATGAGTTTTTTCTTTTTTCACCATGACAGGGGACCAGTGATATGTGTGTCATGGCATCCATCCTGCAGACAACTCATCAGCTGTGATAGGGCCAAGAATGTCATACTTTGGGCGGACTTTTGATAGGACCAAGACCAGGTCCTGGATCTGAGACAGGTCCAAGGCTGTCATACTTTCAGTTATAGCAATTTGCCATCGTTTACGAAAATGATATTACACAAAGCTGAGACAGGTCTAAGACTGTCATACTCTGGGCCTACTTTTGATTGGAGCAAGTCCAGGTCCTGGATCTGTGCCAAGTCCACTCACCAGGATAAAGACATTCTCCTGACCAAGCAACTACCATTCAAAACTGATTATTAAAAAATATGAAAAGCTGCAACAGGTCCAAGAAAATCGTATTCTAGGCCAACTTCTGACAGGAATTAGACCAGGTCCTGGATCGGTGCGATTTCATCCCTGATGGGTTAAACTCATATTTTAAAAGCCCTTCTACTTAGGATTCATGTAGCTGCTATGGAATGGTGCAACAAAAAAAACATCGAAGGCCGTCGTTTGGTATTTGCAAATGATGAAGCAAAATGATGTATGTACGAATTGATTATTTATCTAACATGGACTCTATGTGAAGAGAGACGAGTGCTTGGAAAGCTTTCAGTATTTATGTGCAAATAATAGAGAAAACAGTTACTGTCAGAATTAGTAATTTATATAGAAAATAGGACTTCATTGCTTCATTCATAATTATTATTTATTTAGGAAAATTTAGATCTCATTGCTTGAGGTAATTTGCAAGGATGCATTCGTTTGATGCATAATGTCAGAATGAGTTGAGTAGTGACCGACTTTATTGCATGAAATTATTGCAAGGGAGAACTTTAAATGTTCCAGAGCATGTGATCATGGCCTAAAAGTGTAAAGACACTAGGCATACAAGACATGTTATTTAAAGGCTACTTTAATGCTTACCGGTATTCTACTTTTAAAAATAAAGTTGTAGAGGCAAGATTCCCAACACTTCCCCCGAGGACCAGCCGGAGCGCACCAGACGCTCTACAGAGCCGCAGACCCTCTCTCCAGTCAAACTGATTCCAGGGATCTTGCTTCTTAACAAGAAAAGACAACTCTTCCCGGGGCCCCAGCCAGCGTCTCGTTCGCTTCACAGCATTCGGCCGGCTCCGCCTTTGGGGGTCGTGAATATTGATCCGATTCCCTTTCGCCCAAGGGGCGTGACCCTATTCCCGAAAGATCCAGGCCGACGCTTCTGCTCAGAGCGGAAGTACCCTAGGGCTTAGGATTGTGCTGGTGGATAGGAAATAATTCTCATCAACTTGACACCATTACGTTTTTGGTCCATTTTTTATCATCGCAGTACTATCAATTTTGGACGATTTGATTTTGTACAAGTTTCTTATATTTTTCAACCGTGTTTGTAGTTTTATAGTTTCAATATTTTTTTTTATGTGGAGTCCACAAAATTTCTTATTTCAAGATCACTGTTATTGTGCATTTTAGAAGAGGACTTTCGAATGTTTTATGACTCTTAATAAGATTGTATTGTCCACCATTTGCATTGTTTATGTATACGCAAATGGAATGTAAGGAAAACAAATGTAGAATGTTAAATTGGAAGATAGTGCTGCAGAATTTCCTTGTGCATGTTTTTCTTTATAGAAGATATTTTGGAATAATTTCTATTTCATGAGAATTTGGCTTAATGTAATTTCTAATAGTATTTTCAAACTATTCTGTGTCAAATTGACGCAAAAATTTAAAACTTTTATTTGAGAGTTTTAAGTGAAAAGTTTTTAGATTTAATTTGCATTATTTCATTGGGTTGAGTATCTTTCATTGAGCCACATTACCCTTGCAACTATTATATCTGTTTCTATATAAAAAGATAGCAATTTTTCATATAAATGTAGATATATATTCAACCAGAGAAAATTCTTTGTCAGGTATTTCCACATACACTTAACAACTAAATTATTCATACCCTTATTCAGTTTTGTAACAAAAAAATGTTTGTGAAAATTTGATTTTTCCCAATGTATGTTTCTTGAGAATGTGACGTAGTGAAGCTTACATCTAAAAGTATTCAACAAAGGCCCTCATTCGACCTATCCACCTTTCATAACCATTTTTTCTCTTTTTTTTCAAGGGTATGAATAATGTTTTTGTTAACTTTATGTCACTTACAATGTATCAACTTAGATAGATTCAGCAAGCAATTTTGCACAGAAAAGAGCTAGGAACTACTGTTGGATTTTCAGTATGTATTGTACTTATCTTTACAAGACAGACCATTTGCACCAATGTAGCTGCTAGAATGCCAGAAAATACATTTTTTGATTAAAGGTCCTCTTTGCCATTATGATCACAAAGTAACATTCTTTTCTATTGGCAAGGCAAGTGCCAGTATTGTTTTACTGTTGTAAGCCAAAAATATTCATTTCCGTAACAGTTTTTTTTTGCTGTACATCGGATTATTCAATTGATGTGTGCAGATATTTGCGTTAATTTATGTTTAGGTAGACATTTCTTAGAAATAATCACTTGGTCACATTTTGTATCATGCAACATATATGTACATTGTAAATAATGCACAGAGCATGTCAGCTATATTATTGCATCGATGTATAGTTTTGATTTGTATATACTTCCGCCAAGATGTATGAATATATACTTTCATAATATTCAAACAATTTTTGTACGAGGTTCTGGCAATCATGAAGTACAAATGCAACATTTTCTTGGATGATCTAAATGTCTTTTGAAGAAGTCGAGTTTGAAATTAGCACGATACTAATAGTCACCCATCGCAACCAATTTTTCTATTAAAGTCCATGCGAGTTTCCTTGTGCATTTTGGAATGTACTTCTTTGATAAAGACATATGGTTAAATGTCTTAGACACCCTTATGTGCAGTATTTACTTATCTATATAAAGAGTGGATCAATAAGCCTAATGTGCTATCATTAAGATGAGCGGCAAGTTTAGTTATCTCCTACTTATGTAGCTTTTTTCTCATTCAACTTAATTAAGTGTCAAGGAATCAAGGAATAAACTTCTCATAAAGATGTAACAACATTTTAATTTATTACATTTTTTGTATTTTTATTTTAAAAAAGAAGTGAATTATCATAATAAAATGATAAGCTTAGTTTATTCATATATTTTGTTGGAAGAACTAGTCATTTGTTTGGAATAAGCAGTTTATTCATTGTGCTCCACAGAAAAGTGGAGTACTTTTAGAGGCTGCCGTCGTTTTAGTCAAAACTGTTTATCTGACGTTAAGAGGAAGAGTTAGTACGGTTCAGGGGCCAGTGCCCTAAGTGGGGTTCCAAATTGGCAATTGTCGTCTTATACAAAAATGCATAATGATTATACATCAAAATGACACATTTTTCTGTGCTTGTCGACTGTGTAATGTTGGTCCAAACATTTTTGGCCTCATTTTCCTAGAAATAGAAATGTGAAGATAAACAGTCAAGGGGAGAAATTTCTTTTTCTGATAGATATTCATAACTGATTTATTGAATTATTGCTGACAAAAGGTCACATACTTATTTTGCCCCCCCCCCCCCCCCGACCCTCCAACAATACTCTATTCCATGTGCTTCATACATGTATGTACTTTATTATTGTACATTTGGGATGGATTGGAGTTACATACAATCCATAATTTGCTAATAAACTTCATTGAAATCTGTTCATTTTGTCTCCAATAATTTAATTTTGTGTTGAATTGTGTATTAAAGGCAGGAACTTGCAAGAATTTTGGAGTGTTTAAACAGAGAGGGGGATACTTGTAAAATCAAGTTAGTATGCGCAACCATCTAATCATTGCAGTGTGATTTTTGCGCATGAATGAAGAACTCTTTCGACAGAGCGAATGTCATTCACCAACATTCCCCCCTTTGAGTAAGAAAAATTAGGAAATAATAGGGCAAAATAGGGAAGAATAGAGAAAAATGGGAAAAAATTGGGAAACTGATTTAAATCAGGTTTTTATCAGACCTGTCTCCTCTAGAGTAATGGGTAGTTGAAGAGAAAGACTTTTACTGGTAAATCTTAAGCAACAAAATCCTGTTTTGTAATTCCCGTGCCAAACTTAAGAATCAAGTCAAGATGATGAAGAAGAAGGGGGAAGAAAACTAGACCCATGATCATGTCCAAAATACCCATACATCAGCAACAACAACAACAAGAATAGACTCAGACCACACATATTTTAACAATCATCACTGTTGGGCATATCCCATTTACTGACTTGGTTAATACAATACAAAATACATGTATACGAATACATTTATGAAAATCAGTTGCCTTTCCAAATCACCATGGTATTTCAAAAATATAAATATTTGATGAAACAAATTCATGATTAGCTCAATATATCGTGGTCTCTGCACAATTCTAATATAAAATATATAAATCGAGTGATATAATATAACACTATCATTTACACACTCATAGACAATGTAAAGAAATTACTGGTAAGTAATGTAATTGTTACTTTTGGAAAGACAATATATATATATATATATATATATATATCGAGTACTGATCAAAATGCCACAGCAATGATAATCCAATATTGTATTACATTTGAAGAATTTTTTTTTTTTTTTTAAAGTACCTTTCGCCTGAATTCACAAATCAGGAAAGCTTACTCGAAATAATGTGAATAGGTATACCTGAAAGACATTATTTCATATTTCCTTCAATTATATAGAAATCTAACATTATTTAAACACAAATTTAAATCAAATGTGTCCTTTCTTTTCATCTTTGATCTAATCTACATGTAAGCTCTAGTTAGTAGAGCTACTACCATAATGTAATATCTGGGGGGGGGGGGGGGTGCTGTATAAAGCTGTACGTAAAGTTACGTATGACTTTACAAATGATTCGAATATGAAGAGCTTAATGGGATGCCCAAAGTTTTTCCTTACATTTTAACAAAGTGTGACTGTATTTCCCATAATCTCACTTAAATTGTAGCCAAAAATACACTTTGCATTAAAATGTTTTGTTAATAATGATATTTCAACTTTAGCTTATGGACTGAATTAAAAGGATTTGAGAATCCCATTTAGCTCTTCATATTCAAGTCATTCGTAAATTTATGCGTAATTTTACGCACAGCTTAATGAAACACCCCAAGGTATCTTAGATTTGGTTGTTAACATTTGCATAGCTCATAATACTTTTTTCTAAGCGCTTTCCATTGTAATGAATATAAGTTAAGTCATTGTATTCAAGTGCTAATTTGCACAGGATAGTGCACACTCTCCACTCCCTGGGGAGTATTCATATGTGGCAAAATAGCTTTGTACATGTACATACCCTGAGAATGATGCAATAATAACGGTACTTTAAAGGCACATTGGTATAACAGTATTCTGTATACATTACAACATGCAAACCCTGATTGAACATCAACATAACACCAAGAACAAAAGGCAAAATACTTACTGCACTTGATTAATAGTGTATGAATAAACAAGAATGTAAATATTTAATTCATATTTAATTTGTAAAAAAAGAATACATTTCATAATTACTCTCTACTTCATTTCGGTAAGTACAATTGATCTGAATAAAAGTGCTCCAAAATTAGTTCATTCACTACAAACAATATTCCCACATTGTAAATACTTTTGCAAATATATTCTTTACACCCTGACACATTCCACTAGAAGAAATAAACAATCTTTAGAAGGCACATACACACAATTGAAAAAAGAAAGACAAAAAGTTTGGTCATATCAGTGCATCAGTTAATGCTTCTTCAGATCACTAAATATCTGGTTCTCTACTTCCTATCTCATGGATGGTTCATGTTGATGGATCACTACATACTGCAATATTAGTCCTTGATAAGAAAAAATGCATTCAACAGGTATAAAATTTAGTACTTGTATTTTTTGTATTCCTGACCTGAATGGTAGAAAGTGTGAGGGCAATATTGAGTCAAGTGAACAAGTAAGTCATGACGCAGAAGTCCAGTGCTACACCGATGCTCCAAGTATGCTTTGGCGACATTGAACCAGGGGGCGTTTCACAAAACTTGTCATCAGTGACAAATGACAGTTTTTAGCCATTGTCACCAGAAAATGTCTTGTAATGGTTTTCTGACATACGCTCCGGCAACAACAGCTATAGCTAGGCTTTACGTCATCAAATATTTTGGGTTAGGGTTAGGATTGCATTTGGGCTTCAGATCGGGTTTAGGTCCAAGTTTAATGGTAATGAGGCTAGAATTAGGGTCAAAGTTGGTGTTAGGGTTTAGGGTTAGGGTCTCGGGTTAGGTTTAGCATTAGGTCCAGGGTTGAAGTTATGACTCCAGTTAGTTTAGGATATTGACAGTGGGCCATGACTGCCGATGTCTGTAACAGGGGTGTTTCATTTTGTTGTACTGAGCGAGGCGAGAAGATTCGCCGGCAATTGGCTCAAAGATGATGTTGATGATTGACAATGGAGCAATTGTTACCAGATGAGTTGTAACAGTTCTCCAGCAACTACTGCCCCAAGTTTTATGGCATCAAAAATATAACGGTTAGGGTTAGAATTGCATTTGGGTTTTAGGTCAAGCTTTGGGTAGTGAAGTTGGTTTTACGGTCAGGGTTGGTTTTAAGGTCAGGGTTAGGGTTAGGGTTAGGGATAGGGTTAGAGTTAGAGTTCAGGTTAGGTTTAAGGTTAGGGTTACTTATACTGACTGGCCCCGGGTTGGAATTGAAAATTAGATTTGCATAGGATATTGACTAGACAGGATTGTCATCGAACAGTCTTGTACTGCTGCACTGATCAGCTTTTATACCATGCCATACCGCGCTTCAAAGCGCGTTCCCAGGTCTGGAACTCCTGCTCTTCTGTCGTGATGGACTTGGGCTCAAAGACAGCATCCAGTTTTCTCAGGCCCCGGAGTTCCTCTTTGTTCTTCCAGATTCCTGTATAACATTGCAGAGAAAGAATGATATCTTTTTTGTAAAAACGCATTAGTATACAGATGATGCACTGTTGCAAGTGTGTCAGGGCAGGGCCAGTGCACGAAGTTTAGTCAGTGCCCATAGTGATAATGCACGCGCTAGCATGTCTTTATTTTAAAACGTTCAATATCATGAACCCTTTCAATGCCAAAGGAACTGTATAGTTTATAGATCGTACCTGTAGCTAGACCGGCCAGGAAGGCAGCCCCGAGGCACGACATGTCCAGGTTGGTGGGGCGCTCAATAGGTTGCCCTAGAAGATTGGCCATGGACTGTAAGATGAACTCATTCTGACTGACTCCACCATCAACTCTGTGGAGACAATAGTACTCAATGTAATGATAATAACAAAAATTACTTGAACAATCTTTGTACACCACCTATGATACATACATATAATATATATATATATATATATATCTCAGACAAGTACAAAACTAGTCTGACATGATTGTTGATTTGAGCTGCACTGCTATATTTTACTACATATTTAAAATGGCTGACATGCAGTCCATAAAGCAATATCAACCAATCACAAGTTTGTACATGAAGTGAGTAACCTATAGAAGGCCTAAGAAAAGAATGAGTGCCATGTGTCTATAGTGAGCTGGGTTCAATAGCCAAGAGATATAAAGAGAGAGAGAGTGTGTGTGTGTGTGTGGTGCTATGGCAGGTAATGTTAAATGAGGATGAATGAATAGGGACAGAACAATAGAAGTCAAGAGCTTAAAGATGAAGTTGAGTTCTGGTCATGCGATTGCATTGTGGAAGAAACGGTGTGGAACCGACCAGAAAAGGTTGATCATCTAGCATATAAGAATGTGTGTGTATTGCAAGGTTCTGGAATCATCAAAATGATAAGAAATTTGGCCAAGTCTTGGTAAAGTTACAAACACTTGCACAGAAAGATGTATGTGGGACTACACGAACACGTGGCGTAAAAAGCCGGCCCCCGATTTTTACGATGTTACATGCATATTTAGAATATGAAGGCATTTGAAGAGCCATGCTTTTCAGGGAACATGTCTTAACTGATGTTCTTCTACACATGCATAATAAGAATGAGTAATGCTCACAAATTATTTGTCACCTCTTCCCAGAACTCAACCTTCTCTTTAATAACAGACATCAGACAATGAATGTAGGTCAGGAGTGTCCTGAAGCATAACAGAGTGGAAAGCTATATATGTAAAATGAACAAGTAACCATTTGGATCAGTAAAATTAAAACCTTACAATAGTATGAACATATATTTCTTTGATTTTAAAATGTTTTCATGACTGAACTGACCTGATGACCTGGTTCAGCTTGACCCTACTCTCCTTCATTTCAACATCATACAGCTGCTTTACTCTGCAAACAAGAAAGGAAAAGAAAAAGAGTCAATCATGGTGGAAGCTATGTTAGAATCGGCTCAGAAATCCCTGTGATCTGATTGGTTACGAGCCAGTGAGCACAATTGAATTAATTCTACTGACTGCATAAATTATGCACAAATAAGTTGAGATATCAGCAATCGATATTGAAATTGAAACGATAGCTTTTCAACAGGGCAACTACCGGTACCTAACAGCTGCAATATTTGACAGTATTAAGACTGAAAATTAGAAGAACAAGCTAATAATACAGAGAGGTGATCTGCGCATCATTTGTCTACGAGACAACCTCACGGGATACAATTCTCAAATTCCCTGATTTTTTTGCCTGGGTTGAGAGAATTTCCTCAAATTCCCAGAATTTACAAGGTAGGAAAAGAAGTGTTCCGTAAGAGAACGAAAAATATTAACTGCCACAACAATAGTCCTGTTCATACTCACTTATCTGTTTGTTGCAAAACACAGAAAGTAAAAGCACATTATGATAATGTCATTAAATTTGCTCAGCCAGGCGGTTTCCTGTGGCATGTATGAACAAGGCTGACCAAACAGACAAGGAACCAAATGATTTCTACCAACCTGTATGTTATTGATTCCAGCAGTGATCTTGTGACGTGCGCTGGAGTCGTCCTGGGTGTCAACCCAATGAGACAGGCACACGCACAGTTATCATTGATTGGGGCCTGCAACAAAACGGATCAAACATGTTTATAGTGTAGATGTGTGGCAGGTTCAAGGGGGTCCCATGGGACCCATTTAAAAACCCAGGTCGGTTAGTTGTCGTTTGAAGCTTAGGAGTGTGGGAGCGTCAATGGCAGTTTGTAGCAGCTTATTCCATTTGCTTACAACTCTCTGGCTATAGAAATGTTTCCTAATGTTAAGGCGGCTTCTTGTTTTGGCTAGCTTCATGGAATGGCCTCTTGTTCTATCATAGTTAGCAAACTGAAAATAACTCTCGGGTTTGGATTTGCATCATTATCCAGTAGGTTTGCAGTATAGGTCTCCTCTCTCTCTTCTTTTCTCCAAAGAAGTTAGTTTCAGTTTTGCTAATCTCTCTTCATATGGTAGCTGTTGAATACTTGGAATGAGTTTTGTGGCTCTTGCTTGAACTTTATAATATTAAAAAAACTAGATGGAATTTTGACTGCGCGCAGTCGAAAATGATGCCTCCGCCATAGAGCAATTTAAACAAGTTTGGAGTTTAAATCTCCAGTGGTTCTTGAGATATCATGATAACAATCTCAATGTATGGAATTTCATAAGTTGACCTCTGTGACCCTTGACCTTTGACCTACATGGTCCAAAATCTAATCAGATTGTCTACCTATGGTGATACACACTATCATTAAGTTTGAAGTTTAAATCTCCAGTGGTTCTTGAGATATTATGATATGGTGATACATACTATCATTAAGTTTGAAGTGAAAATTCTCCAGTGGTTCTTGAGATATCGCGATAACAATCTCAATGTATGGAATTTCATAAGTTGACCTCTGTGACCCTTGACCTTTGACCTACGTGCTCCAAAATCTAATCAGATTGTCTTCCTATGGTGATACACACTATCATTAAGTTTGAAGTTTAAATCTCCAGTGGTTCTTGAGATATTATGATAACAATCTCAATGTATGGAATTTCATAAGTTGACCTCTGTGACCCTTGACCTTTGACCTACGTGCTCCAAAATCTAATCAGATCGTCTTCCTATGGTGATACATACTATCCTTAAGTTTGAAGTTTTTACATCTCCAGTGGTTCTTGAGATATCATGATAACAATCTCAATGTATGGAATTTCATAAGTTGACCTCTATGACCCTTGACCTTTGACCTGCGTGCTCCAAAATGTAATCAGATTGTTTTCCTATAGTGATACACACTAACACTAAGTTTGAAGTTTAAATCTCAAATGGTTCTTGAGATATCGCGCTAACAAACTCAATACAAGGAATTTCATAACTTGACCTCTGTTACCTGTGACCTTTGACCTACGTACTCCAAAATCTAATCAGATCGTCTTCCTATGGTGATAAATACTATTCCCGAGTCTTAAGTTTAAATCTTAAATGGTTCTTGAGATATTGTGATAACGGTCAAACGGGACGGACGTACAGACGTACGGACGGACAACCCGAAAACATGATGCCTCAGGCACCACCTTCGGTGGCGGAGGCATAAAAATATAATATTTTCCTCAAAAATACTGAACCACCCTGGCCCTTACCATTTCGGCCCGAAAGTTGTGATAATTCAAATTTTTACAATATTTGCCCCTACACCCCTTTCAAAGGGATATGGGGGTCAGGATCCATTTAATTGCATGTAGGTACATTCATTGTGGGGAAACTAGCCTATTCAAAAAATATAATTTTTTCCTCCAAAATCCTGAACCACCCCGGCCCTTACAATTTCGGCCCGAAAGTTGTGATAATTGAAATTTTTACAATATTTGCCACTACGCCCCTTTCAAAGGGATATGGGGGTCAGGATCCATCTAATGGCATGTATGTACATTCATTGTGGGGAAACAAGCCTATTCAAAAAATATAATTTTTTCCTTCAAAATGCTGAACCACCCCGGCCCTTACAATTTCGCCCCGAAAGTTGTGATAATTGAAATTTTTACAATATTTGCCACTACGCCCCTTTCAAAGGGATATGGGGGTCAGGATCCATCTAATGGCATGTATGTACATTCATTGTGGGGAAACTAGCCTATTCAAAAAATATAATTTTTTCCTCCAAAATCCAGAACCACCCCGGCCCTTACAATTTCGGCCCGAAAGTTGTGATAATTGAAATTTTTACAATATTTGCCACTACGCCCCTTTCAAAGGGATATGGGGGTCAGAATCCATTTAATTGCATGTAGGTACATTCATTGTGGGGAAACTAGCCTACAAAAAAAAAAAAAAATTTTCCTCCAAAATCCTGAACCACCCCGGCCCTTACCATTTCGGCCTGATATTGGTGTTTATTCAAATTATCACAATATTTGCCCCTACGCCCCTTTCAAAGGGATATGGGGGTCAGGATCCATCTAATGGCATGTATGTACATTATTGTGGGGAAACTAGCCCATTAAAAAAAAAAAATATTTTCCTCCAAAATCCTGAACCACCCCGGCCCTTACCATTTCGGCCTGAAATTGGTGTTTATTAAAATTATCACAATATTTGCCCCTTCGCCCCTTTCAAAGGGATATGGGGGTCAAGATCCATCTAATGGCATGTATGTACATTCATTGTGGGGAAACTAGCCTATTCAAAAAAATTAATATTTTCCTCCAAAATGCTGAACCACCCCGGCCCTTACAATTTCTGCCCGAAAGTTGTGATAATTCAAATTTTTACAATATTTGCCACTACGCACCTTTCAAAGGGATATGGGGGTCAGAATCCATTTAATTGCATGTAAGTACATTCATTGTGGGGAAACTAGCCTATTCAAAAAATATAATTTTTTCCTCCAAAATCCTGAACCACCCCGGCCCTTACAATTTCGGCCCGAAAGTTGTGATAATTCAAATTTTTACAATATTTGCCCCTACACCCCTTTCAAAGGGATATGGGGGTCAGGATCCATCTAATGGCATGTATGTACCTTATTGTGGGGAAACAAGCCTATTCAAAAAATATAATTTTTTCCTTAAAAATGCTGAACCACCCCGGCCCTTACAATTTCGGCCCGAAAGTTGTGATAATTCAAATTTTTACAATATTAGCCACTACGCCCCTTTCAAAGGGATATGGGGGTCAGAATCCATTTAATTGCATGTAGGTACATTCATTGTGGGGAAACTAGCTTATTCAAAAAAATTAATATTTTCCTCCAAAATGCTGAACCACCCCGGCCCTTACAATTTCGGCCCGAAAGTTGTGATAATTCAAATTTTTACAATATTTGCCACTACGCCCCTTTCAAAGGGATATGGGGGTCAGAATCCATTTAATTGCATGTAGGTACATTCATTGTGGGGAAACTAGCCTATTCAAAAAATATAATTTTTTCCTCCAAAATCCTGAACCACCCCGGCCCTTACAATTTCGGCCCGAAAGTTGTGATAATTGAAATTTTTACAATATTTGCCCCTACACCCCTTTCAAAGGGATATGGGGGTCAGGATCCATCTAATGGCATGTATGTACATTATTGTGGGGAAACTAGCACATTAAAAAAAAAAAATATTTTCCTCCAAAATCCTGAACCACCCCGGCCCTTACAATTTCGGCCCGAAAGTTGTGATAATTGAAATTTTTACAATATTTGCCCCTACACCCCTTTCAAAGGGATATGGGGGTCAGGATCCATCTAATGGCATGTATGTACATTATTGTGGGAAAACTAGCCCATTAAAAAAAAATATATATTTTCCTCCAAAATCCTGAACCACCCCGGCCCTTACCATTTCGGCCCGAAAGTTGTGATAATTCAAATTTTTACAATATTTGCCCCTACACCCCTTTCAAAGGGATATGGGGGTCAGGATCCATCTAATGGCATGTATGTACCTTATTGTGGGGAAACAAGCCTATTCAAAAAATATAATTTTTTCCTTAAAAATGCTGAACCACCCCGGCCCTTACAATTTCGGCCCGAAAGTTGTGATAATTCAAATTTTTACAATATTAGCCACTACGCCCCTTTCAAAGGGATATGGGGGTCAGAATCCATTTAATTGCATGTAGGTACATTCATTGTGGGGAAACTAGCTTATTCAAAAAAATTAATATTTTCCTCCAAAATGCTGAACCACCCCGGCCCTTACAATTTCGGCCCGAAAGTTGTGATAATTCAAATTTTTACAATATTTGCCACTACGCCCCTTTCAAAGGGATATGGGGGTCAGAATCCATTTAATTGCATGTAGGTACATTCATTGTGGGGAAACTAGCCTATTCAAAAAATATAATTTTTTCCTCCAAAATCCTGAACCACCCCGGCCCTTACAATTTCGGCCCGAAAGTTGTGATAATTGAAATTTTTACAATATTTGCCCCTACACCCCTTTCAAAGGGATATGGGGGTCAGGATCCATTTAACTGCATGTAGGTACATTCATTGTGGGGAAACTAGCCTATTCAAAAAATATAATTTTTTCCTCCAAAATCCTGAACCACCCCGGCCCTTACAATTTCGGCCGAAAGTTGTGATAATTCAAATTTTTACAATATTTGCCCCTACACCCCTTTCAAAGGGATATGGGGGTCAGGATCCATTTAACTGCATGTAGGTACATTCATTGTGGGGAAACTAGCCTATTCAAAAAATATAATTTTTTCCTCCAAAATCCTGAACCACCCCGGCCCTTACAATTTCGGCCCGAAAGTTGTGATAATTCAAATTTTTACAATATTAGCCACTACGCCCCTTTCAAAGGGATATGGGGGTCAGGATCCATCTAATGGCATGTATGTACATTATTGTGGGGAAACTAGCCTATTAAAAAAAAAAATATTTTCCATCAAAATCCTGAACCACCCCGGCCCTTACCATTTCGGCCTGAAATTGGTGTTTATTAAAATTATCACTATATCTGCCCCTACGCCCCTTTCAAAGGGATATGGGGGTCAGGATCCATCTAATGGCATGTATGTACATTTATTGTGGGGAAACTAGCCTAATCAAAAAATATAATTTTTTCCTTCAAAATGCTGAACCACCCCGGCCCTTACCATTTTGGC